TGTGTTTTGTGTTGGTCACGTGCAGGTTGGGATTGGGCAAAGAGGCCGACATCAGGCGCGTGTGGGCGTGTGGCAATGCCACCTTCGTGGCGGCGGTGTTGGCCGCCAACGACGGCAAACGCCATTATGGGTGGGGAAAGGTCGGGCAGCGGCCCACACATGCACACGAACATTGGTGTGTGGCTCGCGTGTGTGTTGTCGATGCAGGTGCGGGTCCAACTCGTGTGGGGAGGTGGGCATCGGCACCAAGACCAACACCGTCGACCGCCTGATGGAAATCCCGGCACTCTACGACAAAGACGTAAGCCACACGTGTGCACAGGGACGGTGATCAGCGAGTGCGAGTGGTCTGTCTGTCTGGGTATCTATCTCTGTGTGTGTGCAGGTGGTGAGCCTGTGTGGCGGGCAGTTCCACACTATGGCCCTCATCCGTGACGGAAGCGTCATGACCTGGGGCAAGGGTAGGACGCAATGCAAACACATGTGGCCACGGAGGATACACACATCACATCAAACTCTCCCGGACCCACACACGCATTCGTTTGTGCGTATGTATGTGTGCAGGCGAGAACACGGGCCTCGATGTCTCCAACCGCCTGGTCGACGTGACGGTGCCCTGTAGCATGAGGGTCGAGGTGAGCTCTCAAAGGCGAAGGACAAGTCACTGTTATGGCTCTCTGTCTGTCTGCCTGTGTCTCTCAGGGGGTGCGCTTCCTCTCCGTCGGTGCCGGGAGGACCCACACGGTGGCGTGGGGATTGGTGGGGGCGGACTTGTGTGAGGAGGGAATGGCAGGGGACGTTTGGGCCAAGCGAACGTCTGAGTGGTAAGTGTGTGAAGACACAGAGAGGATTGGCGCTTCTGCACACGCATTTCTCTGTTGTCTGTTGTGTGAGATAGCTTGTCTATCGCTGTCTGCATTTTATATTTCGATGTCTCGTGAACCGATGGGTCGCTCAGACGACAGACAGACAGACAGACACTGCCTGCATTCTGAATCGCTCTCGTCTTTTATCTCCGTCCCGCCGTGGTTTAGTGGGGGGCGTGCATGTATCATATATTGACATTGATCACTTGTGGCGTGTCTTTGCCACAGCTAAAGGCCTCTCGCGGTCCACACAAACATGCACTCGATCAATGGCAACTGTCACCCCACCACCCGTCCCCTCTCCCTCCCTCCCTTCGATCCATCTACCTACCCCCTCGGCAGACCGCACACACCACAGTCAGCAGCCGCCCCTGACTCATTCCAGAACGTGCAGTGCCGACACGCCCACCCACCTCCACCTCCACATCCACCAGCAGCCCCGCCCCCCTCCCTCCTTGCCCTCTTGTTGTTGCCCCCCGCCAGCGGCAGCCCGTCGAAGGCGTTCTCGTCGCTGTCCTCACACCCAGGTCTCACCGACTCGCACAGGTAGCACTTGACGTGCTTGGCGTCGTTGAGCACCGTGCAGCGGGAGCACGCCCACTGGCCACCAGACGCAGGACGCTTTGCAGGCGGTTGTGCGTCACCATCCTCATCGTCCAGGTCGATCACGGGTACGGCAGCTTGTGCCGCGCCACTCGACGTCCCGCTCGTGGCCGCAGCTGCTGCAGCTGCTGCCGGGCCAGCCGCGTCATTCTCCTTCTTCTTGGCCTCCTTCTTGACCACCGGCTGTGCAGCTGCAGCAGCAGCAGCAGCAGCAGCGGGCGGCTTCTGACGTGGGGGTTCTGAAGGGCAGAAGGCCATGTTGTCCTCATCATGCCAGGGGAGGGTGTCGCGGGGAGGGATGGGGGAGGGGGGAGGGAGGGGCGAGGGGCCGTTGGTGTCGTGCTCGTCGTCAGTGAGGTCGATGACCTCCACTTCCACCTCATCCTCTCGCTTGACGTCGCCCTTACACCGACAGTCCTGCAGGCAGCATCGTGTATGTGGTGTGTAGGGTTGTATCCGTGTTATGTGTGTGCACATCTGCTCACGTCTTTGGCTCTCCGCTCGGCAGCCCATGCAGCTGCTTCGCGTGCACTCATGCCTGACAGCAGGAGGACACGGCAGCAGGGATTTATCTTCGACTTGCGTTGATCGGATTTGGCTGCCCACCCTTCATGCGATTGGTATCTCCTCCCAGGCGCTGGCCGCCAGGAGTCATCAGCTTGTTGATGCGCTGGCGCTCCTCAGCAGCCTGACAATCACGCAGGGAGCATCCACCCATCCACCCTTGTGTGTGTGGTGTGTGTCGTCAGGTACCTTGAGCGCCTTCTGCTTGCCCTCCACTATGTTGGTGGGGTTGTGGGTCAAGCCGCCAAGCCTGACACCTGATGGAAAGGCAACGAGCACCGCAATCAATCTCACACATCGCCATGGATCTCGCCTCTCACCCTCTACGTCAAACCCCTCGCCCGTTCTAGTGATGCCCTTGGCCATGAGTTCCTCACACTCCTTCGTCAACCTGACCAATACAGACGGATATCACAGCCCATCCATCCATCAATTTATCCATTTCTCACTCGGCCAGCAGGGCATAGAACTGGGCGTTGTGCGGTGACACGACAATGTGCGTCAGCTCATGCAGCAGAGTGCCAAGCAGAAAGTGGTAGTTGTGGGTGATCCCGCTCTCCTTGTCGCGCCGCATACGGATCTGAGGACCAGAGGTCGCAGAACACACAGAAACATCGATTTGCGTCATAGGTTGACGTCCTTGGTCTGCGGAAAGCTCACGCACATACGTACACAGATCTTCTGTCCCTTGTTGCAGTTGAGGCCCTGAAGAGCGGGGTTCTTGGGCAGAAACTCGACCAGCAGAGGCACCTTCCATCTTCGCTTGATCATGATGGGCTGACACAAGCAACAGCCAACACACAATGGGTGCAGAGAGGCCGTTCGTTTGAGCGTACCTACCTGGACCTGATCTGCTGCTTGTTGGAGCATCTTCTTGGCCTCATCCTTCCCAGCAAGGTTCAGCGCCTTGATCTCGAGGCACTTGAAGTATTTCTTGTCGTCGAGGCTGCCAGACCCGCCGGCAGGCATCGCTGCGACCTATCCACAGTCTGATGATTTTTTTCGTTCTTCTTCAGCGAGCTTAAAGCTTAGAATTGTGTTTACGTGTGGCCCCGCGCCCGCGCCGACTTAGCGATGATCTGGCTGCTCGTGGTCCTGATCGCAGGTTTGCAGTGGGGAATTGACAAAGACGCACGAATTCTGCATTAATCTGCATAGTCTGTATCGCTCAGGCTGCCCTGCTTTCATGTTCTTCGTCCATGCTCATCACCACGGCAGCCATACGGCGGATCTCAGCGTCCAACAGCAAGACGACATTCTCATGGAAGAGGTCGACGACGAGCTGGACCAACTCGCGTCGTCTCTTCAGAGAAGGACCGCCCTCGTGACGACGGCCTCGTCTGAGTCGTCTTCCCGTCCGGCAATGAATCTGCCTGAAGCCGCCGGCATCTTGGAGACGGCTGCATCGCTGCCGAATGAGACGAGGGCAATTATTAAGAGGATGGTGAAGCTGCAAGAAAATGGAGCTGGATACCGTGAGATTGGGCGCCGTTTGCAGAAGGGCGGGAGGCGGATCATCAGAGAGCTTTCACGGCTGATCGAGCGATATCGGACTCATCTTGAGGAGGGTCAAGAGGCGTGTCAATCACGCCTGATCGAGGCTGAGGAGGCAAGCAAAGAGGCGAGGCAGCAGCTGGCACGAAGCACTGCAGCGGTCACAGAGGTGGGACGGGGAGAGAGCGCTCACCTGTGTCGCATGGCATGTTTCGTTGCAGGTGAGCGCGGCGGCGTATGCGGATTGCTCCGCCGTTCGAGGCCAAACCATTAAGACGGAAGACATGCTCACAAAACACGAAGAGCAGTGCAAGGCTTCAATAACATCGCTCAGAGACCGCCTGGCTGACCTAAAGCATGACGTCGGAGTCAGAAAAAATGTCAGCCAAAGTCATACATAGACAAAAAGGATCATTCATCCGTCTGTCTGTATGCCTGTCCAGATCATGACGGACACCAAGTGCTTGGATGTTCTGGGCCGGGATGCCATTCAACTGCTCGATCAGCTGGCCGAGTCTCAACAGAAGGCCTCAGATGACAGCCCTGAAATGAATGCCACGTCGTCTTCATCACACGCCCTTCCCTTGCTTGAGTGTCACCTGATGATGCTGCGAATGCATCAGGGAAGAATTTTATCGGCGGAGAGAAGTCAAGGTCATTCGTCGTTTGCTGTCTTCCGGCAATTGGCGTTGCAGCTTCGAACAGAGGAAGCGCGGAAATCCCTGACAAGGTAGGGAGGAGGATATCGCTCCCACGCGCCTTGCTGATTTTTGTGGTTCTTTCTGATGTGTGCAGAGCGATTGCTCATGTAATGCCTCCCTCATCCACTCGCCCCTCCATCTCACTTGCCACATCACAGCCAGTTGTCTGTGCAGAGCTTAGCACGCTCGACAGGCCAGCCATGTGCGACCTGCTGGGGCAGATGACGGCAGACGTCATGACGGCACTGCAAGAGGGGCGCGATCAGATGGACGAACAGGAAGACGGATGCATCGCCGCTGAGAGGTAAGAGAAAAGTGAAACACATGTGAATGGACGGCAGGGTCTCTCTTTCTGTGCACTATCAGGTCTTATACGGACGAGCTGGCCACCCTTGAGGACACATTTGGCCGGTGCGAGGTTGAGAAGGCACAGTCAATGGATGCCCTCAAGCAGGCAGAGAAGGAGGAGAGCATCAAACAACATCTGCATCTGGAAGCAGACAAGGTCCCCAAGAGACAGAGCTCAGAACACAAAGAAGTCGGTGGGTGGGTGCGTGTTGGTGCCGCAGGCTTTTCAGCGAGTCCGCGACGAGTGTGCAGCGGGGGAGACCTCTTCCCGCAAGTTTCTCGAAGCGGTTAGAACTGTGCGGTTGGAGGTCGCCACCATCTACAAACGACCTGCCCCCAGTGTGAGGTGCAAACATAACGTGCAGCCTGCTTCCCTTGTCATCTCCTTGTGTGTAGGATTGTGAGCTGGCCGATTGGCACAGCGAAGGGGCCTGCAGCAAAACCTGTGGAGGAGGAAAGATGACCAGGACACGTACGGTAAGGAATACAAAATGCCTTCTCGACTGAGATTTCGCCTTGCGCCCTCAGGTCATTGCTCCGCCTGGGAATGGCGGTGCGGGATGCGGACCACTCACAAAGACCGCCAAGTGCAACACGGATCCTTGCCCGATCGACTGTGTACTCGGCAACTTCTCCGACTGGTAGTGCACCAACCTGGAGTGCCCAATGCCCATCCTCGCGTCTGTGTGTCTCTTTCAGGACGGACTGCTCAGCAACATGTGGGGGCGGCCTCATGTCTCGTCAGCGTGAGGTCATACGCGAGGCGCGGCACAATGGCAGCCCATGCGTCGGCACCGAGGAGACCAGACAATGCAACGTACTGATGCGAAATCAGAGACAGAGACATACATTCACTCGCGTTCGTTGCACGCGTCGTAGGTGGATCCTTGCGGGAGCTGTGATGTGGGCGAGTGGCACGAGTGGACTCCCTGCGACAGGGCGTGTGGGGGAGGCTTCCGGTATAGCAGACGCGTCGTGGCCCCCACAGGGACATTCACAGGTGAGAGCAAGGCGGAGCATGAATTCATCGAGACTCTCGGTCGATCATCTGCCTATGTCTTCAGCTGACGACTGCAAAGCTGAAGAGACCGTCAAGCGACAAGATTGCAGTATCGATGTCTGCCCCACCAACTTCACCTGCACAGGCAGACTGGACCTCGTGTTTGCTGTCGACTCATCGGGGTCGGTTGGAGAAGCGATGTTTGAGAGCGAGGTGAAGCCACTGCTGCGCGCAATGGTGTCCCTTCTCGACATCAGCTGGCGGTCTGTCAGGGTAAAGGACATAGCCAACATCATCCCTCACCTGTCATTGCAATGATGCAGCTGTCCGTTTGCGCATTTAGGTGGGTTTTGTCGACTACGCCACTTCAGTCAAGACGAGACGGCTGACCGGGTCTCGCAGAAGCATCATACAGGGAATCGAGAAGCTGCCATTCCTGTCGGGAGGCACGCGGACCGATGTGGCCCTCAGCGCTGCACTCAGGCTGATCGATCGAGTAAGAGACACACGACACAACAGACACAAGACCTTCTGAACAACGCCCCTCCTTCCTTCTGTGTGCAGTGGGGTCGCGATTGGGATGACGTAATGACCACCGTGGTGATTGTGACGAATGGCAAGCCTTTCTTTCCTTTTCTTGTGGAGAACCAGCGGCTCAGACTGGAGGAGAGGGGCGTGCGGGTTATGATGCTGCGAGTGGGGCGGGTGATGGACCAGACGCAACAGCAGCTGTACGTCTCGCAACCATTGCAGCACAACTTTAACAACAAGCTCTCCTATGGGGAGATGAGAGAGGGATACAAAGAGGTAAGGGGACAAGGAAAGGCCCCATGATGCAGGCACTCCGATGTCTGTCTCATGCAGCCGGTGACATATTTCTGCCCGCGTCTCAAGAGCCAACATATCGACCAGCTGGCCACCACACCGAGCTGACAGCAGCCATTTATGTACGTGTACCATGGATGATCGCAGTCGCAAGTATACGTGTGTCTGTGAGCAGACGCAAAAACCCATACATGATGTTCTTACTTTAAGAACATCCTCGACGAACCCATCTACCCACGTGACCGCCCCATTCACTCGACAAACTCTTCTTCTATCACGGGCCCCGCCGTCGCATTCGTCCCATTGCCGGGCCACTCTGGTGGAAGTGGAAACGGCGGGGCCGCCGGCGTACTTTGGCTTGGGGATGGGGGTGAGTTTGTCGAGGGGGCGGCGGTCGGAGGTTTTGCGGGAGGGCTTGTGGTGGGCGCAACAACCCATGGGCCGATGGGCTGGGACCACTGAGGAATCAGCTCAGGCTTTGAGCTCGACACGTCCGCACTCGTCAGGCCCTTCCAGGAGCTCTGATGACAAATACGACAACCATGGACCAAATTGTCCTGGGGTCTTCTCACCATAAGATGCGGCGCTTCATTGTCACTGACTACTGGATGATGCCTGCCGTGTGCACAACCACGGGAGACACGAAACGATCAAGAAATCGTCTGATTGAATATGTGACCTTGGGCCGCAGAATGTCGAGTGGATGCGGCAGACTTCACTCGAGCGGTCCTGCGCCTCAGGGGGCGGAAGCGCAGCTGAGAAGAAAGGAATAAAGGAGCGTATATTTGCATTCTGACCGTGCGACTGTTCTTGCCTTACTATGAGCTTCCAGCCAGTCTGGGTGACACCCCACTGTGCGAATAATCACGGTCGACGCAACCAACCTACACACCCACAAGCATACCTGCATCTCTCCCCCCACGTGTTGAGCTGCCTCTCCACCCATCCAGCATCGTACCTCTGTGACACCTGCCTGCACGCGCCGCCCACCAGCGTCCGCACATAGCCCGTCGGCTCGATCAACCTGATCTTATCGTGGTTGTCGAGCACGAAAAGCCGCACCTCTCCCAAGGCCGTGATCTCAACCCCCAAGCTCCGTGGCAGTCGGAGGGAGGCCAAGTGACCAGGGCCATCGACCAGGCCGGGCCTCTCGGGTGAGCCCGCGAATGTGGTCACTCGGGACAAACGGACACCTGCACGCAGACAGAATGGCAAGGAGGAAGATGCACACACAAGCACTGGCAGGTAGAGAAACCTTGTACTTTTGTCGTGAATGCGTATTCTCCGGACGCAGTGGTTGTTGGTGTCGGCGACGAAGATGTCAGTGTTGGGGATGAGAGGCGTCCTCGGCAGTGAGGGGGACGGCGTGGCCTCGCTGACGCCAATGCCCTCTGGCAGATTGAAGAGCGCCGTCCGCACACTGCCCCACTCCCACCCACGAAGTGCAAATAGATAGAATAGAAGGCCTTCTCCGCAGCTGTTGCGCTTACGTGCCATCTTGGTGCCCCGCCTGTCCGCACAGCCCAGCAAACACCGATGAAGACCCTGAACCGACGACAACAGACATTCACGCTTTGTAAATCCATCCATCTGTCCATCTCTATCCATCCATTTCTTCCTACTGGGCTTGTCCACTGCGTCGATGTAGATAACGCAGCTTCGCGCCTTGTCCACCAGCCACAGCACGCCCGACGGTGTCTGGGTGACGGCATTCGTCCACGGCATCTCCACATACTCGTCGTAGTGGCCACTCACGTTGTATTCTGACCCATCCAGGACACACACAACCGTCAGCAAACGCCACTCGTTTGGGAGATCTATGGATCTAGGCGACGGACCGTTCACTCTTGACCCGACGTATGCATGGATGGGATAGAAGGGGTTCGTGTAGCCCGGCTCGTGGAGGCGGCACACGCAGCCACGAAGGAAGAACGCAGCCGCGAGGAGGAGCGCCGTTCGCATTCAGACGTCGTGAGATGTTTTTTGTGTTTACAAACTTTCAAGCTGGCCGCCCGCCGTCAAGCCGGAGAAGAAAAGAAAGGAGGGCCCTCTCTATGGAGCCTTCCCAGCTTCTCACTCCCGACGTGACGGCAGACGGGCAGCGAAGACAAAAGGGGAGCGAATTGTCACCATCGTCTATCATTGCAGAGTTAGCTTCTCCTGACTAGTTCCTGGCTTTCCTTTTCTGCACAAGCTCTCAGCCCGATATGCCACACAGACCAACGATGGATGCCACATAACGCACCACATAACGCATCAATGGCATACATCACATCAATACACACACACAACCAACACCAGCGTCTTCAGTAGAAGATGCCCTTGCCTCCCAATATCACGAGAGCCGCAATGATCACAAAGATGATCTGTGCACACACACCAAACGCCCACACCAACACCAACACCACACAGACAGACAGACAGACAGACAGACAGAGAGTGATGCATGAGCACACTTGCACCCTCCCCCCAACGAGCGAGGCAAGCCAATTCATGATCCATCCACATCCATCCACCCGCTGACCAGGTAGGGGTTGCCTCTTGACTTGTTGGGATTCGCACCCTGACCCTCCAGCTCTCTCAACAGCCTGCGCATACACAACAGAGAGAGAGAGAGGAATGGGCAGACAGACAGACAGACAGGCAGGCGGGCCCGTGAAGGACGGTCTTTCCTCTCCCTCTTGCCCTCACCTTTTCTTCATATCTGGGCTGATCTCAGGCTTCCTTGGAGGGGGACGGGAGGGAGGGGGAGGCGCAGCATCCACCTTCTTCTCACCACCACCACCACCTGCACAACACACCTCGCGCCCACACGCCATGCACCAGAATGGAAATGTATGAGTGCTCACAATCTTCTTGCCCTGCAGTCCTTCTAGGGCACTGACCTTCCTTCGCCTGTTCAGCCATCAGCGTCGTCTCATGCGTCGTCTTCCAAAGATGAACTGCGGCTGATGGGCGCGGTGGCGAGAGCACGGCAGATCTTCGTTGGATTGAGTGTGCAGCGGGTGATGACAGCACTGTCGGCCGCATGAATGCTGAGCGGCCTTCCACAGCCGCAGGGGCGAAGCAAAAGGCGTGGACCGCCAAGAGGCCGACGAAGGCCTTGCGGTGAAGAAAGACCATTGAACCTTGAGAACGGCTGAGGCGCCCGCCACACAACAGCCGAATCGTGTGTTTCGCCAGAAAGGGAGTTTGAGCTTGCCATGCCAGCTCGCACGAGAAGGTAGGCAATGGAGCCAGGAGTGCCTTCCTGATCCCAAGATCTCGCTTCTCTGTCGACCTGATGAAGGCGTCACAGCAGGACGCACCTCAGGGGAGGCACGGCGGCAAATGGTAAGCACCAGGTTGCAATGCAAAGCGACTGCCTGCGCTGCTTGCCTCTTCAGGCTGAAGCGGGTGGTGACAGCCATTGTGGCCATTCCCGTGATCATCGGCCTCCTCACGTTCGTGTGGCTTACCAAGGTGCTTGCGGTTGTGGCCCTGCTGTTTGGGGCCTACGAGCACGCCCTGCTGCGGTCCACTGCCCTCAACCGCCTGTTTGCGTCCAAGAGCAAGAGCGACGAGCTGGACCGGTCGACGATATCGCTGCTGACCAACAGCCAGCTGCCCCTACTGGCCTCGTGCATCGTGGTGGCCATCCCGCTGCTGACACACCTGCCCTACCCCACCATCTCATTCAGTGTCGCCACACAGGCAAGGAGACCACAGACAGACAGACAGACAGACAGGCATCATGCATGTGTGGAGTGGATGAGTGGTGCGGCTGTGGCTGTGCCTGTTGCTGTGTATGCAGGTGGCCTTTCTGTGTTTGCCTTTTGCTTACATCATCAAGTATGCCCTCTTCCACGAACTCGCCTTACGAGGGGGCAAGAGAGATGAGCACCAACAGCAGCAGCAGCAGCAGCAGCAGAATGGAGGCACCAGCAACGGCGGCAGGGGGCTCCCGCCCTATAGTCTCGACTTGCCGTATGTGTTGAGCCAGAGTGGTCTTGACCTTTTGTTCCTCGCCCAGTATGCCCTGCCCATGGCGTTTGCCATCATGATGCGCCATTTAAGGTAGGTCAGGAGGCTGGCCCGGCCCAACAGGCATCAGATGACGCCTGCCTAGTGTTGTGTGATTCATTGGCTTGGTGGGGTTGGTGCACTGCAGGGAGGGGATGGGATTTGTGATGGTGTGGATTTTGTGCACCTTCCAGTCGGATAACGGTAAGTAAGTACGACTGACATAACCAGCCGCATCCATCCAGGCGTCACGGGACGTGACAGAGGCAGACAGGCAGTGCAGTGTGTTCCAGCCCAGCTCCGCGTTGATGTGTGTGTGTGGTGTCAGTTGTGGTGCAGGCGGCTTGTTGCTCGGTATCACCATGGGACGCACACGCGTACTACCCACTCTATCACCCAACAAATCTGTCGAAGGTCCGTCGGCAGGCAAACACGCATAGCATAAACAAACATCGTCAGTCAGGTGTATGTATCCTCCCTCCTCTATGTCTGTGTGCTGTGCGCTCGCCTCCCTCCCTCCCTCCCTCCCTCCCTCTGTCGTTGTCTGTCGTCAGGCATCCTTGGGTCGATAGGCATGAGTGTGTTGAGTGGTTGGCTGCTGCACGTGATGGCCCAGCAGTGGTGGACGTTCAGCTGCCTCCCCTCGTGTGCACTGCGCGACTATCTCGCCATCGCTGCACTGGTTGGCTGAACTCACAACAACAACACCCGTGGAGCGACCCACATTTGCTGCGGGCCCTTTGTGTGTGTTGTGCACTGCAGGTGTCTGTGGTCGGCATAGTGGGTGACCTGCTGGAGTCGGCGATGAAGCGTGCGGCTGCCGTCAAGGACTCCAGCAACCTGCTGCCGGGACACGGCGGATTCCTCGACAGGGTGGGTGACGAAAGACAGACAGACAAGAGAGGACGAGAGGGCAAGATAGATCATAGGATCGCTGTCTATGTGCACGGCGTGTGTGTTGTGATGTGTTTTGTGGCAGATGGACAGTTTGCTGGTGGGTGCCCCGGCTGCCTACTTCTACATCATCACCTTTGTGGAGCCGCCCACGTGAAGCAACGGAGGGAGGGACGTCACACAGACGGATGGTGCCTAGACGTGCCTGCCTGCCTGCCTGCCTTGATGCACGAATGTGTATGCGTGTGGGTGTGTGACTGTACAATAAATACGTACATCAATATCTCACTGGGGCGTGGCGTCCGTCAGTCAACAAGTCAATGAATGCATTCATTGACAGCATATATGTGCCCTGGTGACGTCAGCTGTCAGAGCGGCCCCGGCGGGATGAGGACAGCGCAAAAGAGCACGCTGCCCCCACACCGACAGTACCAGCATCGCAGCTGACAACCACCAGGGCAACAATCCTCGCTGATAACTTTAGTGACACCCAGAAGCGCCATACACACGCACCCTGTCCCTCGCGATGCACCGCTCCCGTTCTGACCATGTCACGACCATGCGCGACGTCAGCTTGTCCCGATGAATGTTGGGACCCGCTACATCACGCAGCGCCACCACATGCACAGCACAAGAGCGACGAGTACGGACGATAAAGCTCTCAAAGCACCCTCACACGGTCAGGGTAGGTCGACAAATATTTAAGGGTCCCTCTCCTCTATCAGTCAGTGAGTCAGTCATTGAGCGGCAGGGCAGCTATCTCTTCTTGAATCCGTATTTCTTCCTCTCGTAGAAGAGGTCTGTCCTCGCAGAACCCAAATTGACTATCTTGGGACACCCGTCACGCTGACATCACAGAGACCAGCCAGGGACGAGAGGGTGGCCTTGCCTGTGTGTGGTCCTGTGTGTGTGTGTGTGTGTGTCGTGTGGCTTCCGTACGTCTTTTTCGCACTGTGTGCATTCCTTGCAGTAGTATGCGTCAGAGATGCCCGGCCCGCCACAGATTACGCAACGACCCTGATTGAGTCGACACAGCAAACACCCACACACATGACATGTGCTCCCCTCTGTCTGTGTGGCTGTGGGTATCCCTCTTTATTGTGTGTATCCCTGTGTCCCTGTATACCTGGTATGATCCGTAGTTGCATTCGTCGCAGATGCGCACGATGGTGTGCGGCCTGACGTACGAGTCGCATATCACACACTTGCCGTCGCACTTCTCGCACAGCCGACCGATGGCTGACAGACAGACATCACACAGACAGACAGTCACGTCACACACAGAGAGGCGGCGACAGAGACAGAACACACGACGATATATGGCGATGTCCCTCCTCCCTGTGAGCGCTCCGCTCCCCCAGTCAGTGTGATGCAGGCGGCCTTACCAATGCCTGGTTGCTTGCGGCACATGATCAGGTCGGGATCTGACACACGCAGCCAGCATGACGCACAGCAACAGATAGATGGATGTGGTGAGAGGGTGAGCACTGCTGGCGGCAGTGAGGGAAGACATCCGGCTTACGATGCTTCGCCATGATGCGAGATCCTTCAGCTCGAGCAAAAGGAACGAGGTGCCACAGAGATAGAGCACAGAGAGCCTGTCAGAATGCGCTTGACGCCGCTTTTTCCCCTTCGAGTACGAAGCTCGAGAAGTGCCAAGCTCGCAGATAGATCTGCATCGAAGCAACGAACCGAACGAAGCCTTTATCCTTCTTGGCTGACACCTAAGACAGTTGCTGAGATGGAGAAAGCCTCCCACTCAATGACATAGACCCGAATTTTCTTTCATGTGTGTGTGTTGCATGTGTTCATGCAGACGTCGCACGTCGCCCAGTCAAACAACAATGGTGAAAGTCCTCGTGCCCATCGTGAGCGACACACACACCGTCTATCCACCTGCGGCCATTCATTATGTGCGCATGCGGTGGTGTGTCGCTTCCTGTCCTGCAGGCGAACAGTTCGGAGGAGATTGAGACCGTCTGCATCGTCGACACACTCAGACGAGCTGGTGCGACGCATAGAAAGAGAAAAATCCCCAGTGGGCGGGCGGGATCTGGTTTGTGTGTTCATGTGTGGTGCGTCCTATATGTGTGTGTGGTGTGCAGGTGCTGATGTGACGGTTGCCTCTGTGGAGGACTCGAAGCTGTGCGTCATGTCACGGAAAGTCAAAATGGTCAGCCAGCTGCCACAGGCTCGCGCACACACATGGATGGAGACCATGTGTGCTCTTTCTGTGTGTGTGTGCAGGAGGCTGACGTGCTGATTGGGGAGTGCCAGGGCCAAGACTGGGACTGCCTCGTGGTAGGTCCATACACACACTGCGCACACACGAGATGAGCCTCATGCCATCATGAGTGACATGCTCCCTCCCTCCCTCCCCTCCCCGTGTTGCGCTGCAGCTCCCTGGCGGCATGCCCGGCGCCGTAATGACTATCAATGAACGAACCAACACACAGACGGATCGTTACCAAAGCAACGGGCTGTGTGTGTTCCTCCCTCCCTCCCCAGGAGAGCCTCTCCAAGTGTGCCGCGCTGACGGAGCTGCTCAAGACACAGAAACAAAAGGACAAACACTACGCCGGTAGGTACCTCGAGCAATCCATGTGTCCACATACAGCTAGCTCCCTTCACCGCCCATATTTATGCGATGGATGGATGGATGCAGCCATCTGCGCCGCGCCCGCGGTGGTCTTGGCCGAGCATGGGCTGCTGGAGGGACACAAGGCAGTCTGGTGGGTGCGACAGACACACACAGAGAAGACGGCCACATCGCCAGTATGCATATGTGTGTGTGTGTGTGTGTGTCTGTGGGTGTGGGTGTGTGCCATCAGCTATCCTAACCCTAAGTTCCAGGCGAAGCTGGGCAGCCCCGAAAAAGACCGAGTCTGCGTGTCGGGCAAATGTGGTGGGTGTTGATTGAACACGTGCTGATCTCTATTTGTCCTGTCTGCCTGCATTGCACTCTGTGTGTGTCGTGTGCGTCGATCTCTCAGTGACGTCGATCGGGCCCGGCTCGTCGCTGGAGTTTGCGTGCAAGCTGGTGGAGGTTAGTGAGCAAAGGGGACAGACAGACAGATGGACGGAGAGAAGGGGGTGGGCCGAATGTGCTGCGTGTGCAACCCTCCTTCAGTTGCTGTTTGACAAGGAGGCGGCGGACAAGCAGCGTGACGCACTGCAGATGCCTGCTGCGGCCCGTTAGCTGCCCGTAGCGACAAACCACTATCGCTTTCTCGTCAATTGCCAATTGAGTGGCCGGGCGGACTGGAGGTGTGGCATAGAGTCGTTTTTCCCTGGCGTGAGTGGTGTGAGTGTCTCCCTCCCTCCCTCCCTCTGCCGGTTTTTGTGTCCATGTCTTGCCACAAGCTCGTGTAGTAGAAGAGGGAGGCTACGTGTGTGTGTGTGACCGGCGCAACTCATGACGACGCGGCGCATTCATGTGTGGTGTTCTCTCGATCCATGCGTTGCATTTGGTGGGGTCGGTGTGGTGTGGTGTGAGTGATGCGAGACCTTCCAAGTTCGATCCTCGATGGAATGAATCAATCATCCGGTTCCTGGTGGACATGTAGCCACACGGAGAGCCGCCCTCCATCCTCCCTCCACCCAGCTAGCACTGATGGCTGTCTGCTGGTCCATACGCCTGCCTACATTAACAAACCCACCTTGAACACGGAGAAACACACCGCAACACAACCCGCCTGCCTCTGTACACATCCATCCATCCATCCAGCCATCGGTGTACAAGACAGCCAGCCACCAATTGCATTGCACTCCCTCCCAAACCAACAGCCATCTCGGCTTCAACTCAACCGTCACTGGCGGCCCCCGCCACTGACGAGTCCGCCAGTGAGTTCGACGAGTTGTCTTTCCTCTGGCGTCATGGCTTCCCACGCGGGGCTGTTGGGCGCCAGCATGTTGCCCAAGTCCGGCTCCTCCTCCAGCTGCCGTCGACGGCCTGCACACATGACACATATGACGCCCATGGCATGGATGAGGGAGGCACAGCAAAGCAAACGGTTTGCTGTGCTGGTGCGTGACTGAACTGACCGAGTGCTGCGAGTCGTTTGTTGAGCGGCTTGACGACGTATTCGCCCAGGTTGCTGCCCTGCTTCTTGAGGAAGCCCCATATGAGCCACAGAACCAGCACGTAGGCCGCGGGGTACAGCGCCACCCAGAACCACTGGGGACGATACCGCTCCTGAACCAACCAACACCCACACCCAATCACAAGCAGCACTGTGCCTGCCTGCCTGCTGGATACCATGGGTACTGACTGACTGACCTTGCTCTCAAAGAATTCGATTTTGGTCATGTTTGGGTATTCGAACTGGACGAGGTCGAGGTAGGCGGGGAGACTCTTGACCATCAACCCGAACAAGTCAGACTCAGTCAGCACCAGCACCCTGCTGTTCTCCTTCAGCACCGCCCTGTGTGGGTATCATCACGTCAGTCACACGACCATCGCCAGCCAGTGGATCAGATCAGGTGAGGTGAGGTTTGTGTAGCCACGCACCTTTCATCGAACTTGTCTGCGAGTTTGGGGACTTCGTCGCCCAGGTGCCCCGATAAGAGTGCATGCCGCACATAGGCATGTACCTTGATGCACTCGTATTCGCAACTGACACACACACACACGCGCACATACACAACATCGACAGATACCATCCATGGCATCCATATTATGATGCACACCGGCGGGTGGGCCGACCTTTCTCCCCAAATGGCAGCGTACAGCTTGGGCGCTTTCCGCCTGATGTAGTCGGGTGTGTACTCCTTCTGGGCCTCCGGCTGTCACACACATACACGCACAGACAGACAGACAGACAGACAGTCCCAGACACAAACAACAAGTGGGTGAGGTCAGACGTGTGTGCGTGTGTGTATGTCGACTTACGGACATCCGGGGCGTATTGGCCAAGACCATGCCAAGCTCCATCTTACCCGTCACCTGCACACCACATATCGACACAAACACACGGCTCTGGCTGCGTGGGTGCGGTGTGTTGTGCGAAGGCCTGGCCGTGTGGAACATGTAGATGATGCGTACAATGACGCCCCGTGGGTCGTATAGGTTGTTCTCCTGTATGGCGAGTTGGCAGGACGCGGCCGACCTGCCCGTGCAGAAGTGGGGGATGCTGTCCACCATGCACTGCTGAATCGCTGGCGTCCACCATCCTGACCGAGCGCGTTTACGCAGACAGACAGACAGACAGACAGACAGAGGGTGATCAATGGCGCGCACCACAGTGTCCTGGCTGGGGACTTACCGTATTGTTCATTTCGGTCAAGGCACTTCTCCAGCTGGCAGACGCAAGCAAAGGCGGTGAGCCAACGACCCACGTGGATGATGATCATTCTCCATGCTTACCGATTCCGCCTTTCCAGCTGCCATGATCTCCTGAACAGACACCCACACAACATGAACACACATCTGCCAGGTCACAATGCCTTGCAACGCTGCTCACCGCCTGGTTGAACGACGCCACGAGCTTGTCATAATCATGGCTGTGCAGGCCCAGGAGAACCAAGTCGGGCTTCTCCGCCTCTATCACCCGCCGCACCCCCTCGCCGTTGTTCGGGGCCTCCACGTTCTCAGGCAGCACTGACATGAGGGTCATCTTGACATTGATCCTGGAGGGCTCCTTGCCAAACGTTGCCACCCAGCTGTAGAAGGTGCGGCGACTCGACGGCAGCCGTGACGCATCTGGCCGTAATGGCATCTCCCTCAGTGCTGTGTCGTGCAGAAGGCAAGGGACAGATCTGCCGCAGCGGGATAGGCCTCGCCGGGATGGGCCGCAGAGGAGATTCATCGACAGGAGCTGACACTGCTGGCCTTCCCGTGTCAAGCAGGACAGTGTCGGAAGTGTGGAGCTTTCATTTTTCTCTTGCGAGCTAAGCTGGCACAGGGAATGGATTCAACCAATGGCATCTTCGACAGAAAATGCGCCGCCACTTCCGTTAGGTCAAGAAGACCGTGATGGGAAGTTCTGCTTTCTGAGCTATGTTGTGGAATTTGGTAACAGCGTGTGTTTTGGGTCGTCAGAGTCACCGCACGCACACAACGGATGGCCGCCTGGACTGTCACGTGGAGATGTGTAGAATACATCCACAAATATAAAGCGTAGGCAGCAATATGAGCGGAGTGCATCCGCCACCCCCTCCTTGCAAATCTCCCACCTCTCCTGGCAGTCGGGCCCTCGAGGGTCACCCGATAGCCGGGCCCGTGTCGCCGCCACCACTCAGCCTGCCCCGTCTTGGTGTTGGTCTACCAGCCCTGAAGGGAAGGACACACACGATTTGATTGACACAGAGATTGCAATTGTATGCTTGGACAGTGAGCGCACCTGCTCCGTCACGCCGAGCCTCGCCGCCTCCACCACGTAGTAATACTTCGGGAACTCAGGCGAGCCGGGCCCAAAGAGGGGTTTCTGCATGACAGTCGACAGCAGGCGAACAGGCAGATGAGCAGGTCCACTGGACGTGGTGCGAAGTATGCTTACGCCTATGAAGTCGTATTGCTCTTCTGGGGCGACCTTGCTCCAGGCGGTGGTGCGGGGCTCTGAATCATGCATGTGTACAAGTATGAGGCCACCGCCTGGCTGCATTGCTGTGTGCTGACTCACCACGTAGATGTTGTGGTCGTACTGCCACCGCCTGCCCTCGTGGCCCACCACACCATAGGCCTCGTTGATGGCCTGGGCCTCTTTGGTGGAGGTGGCGGCGTGGGCGGGCTGGCCGTGCTGCTGCTGCTTGTCCGGGTGGCACCTCTGCAAACACACACATGAAGAAACAAAGAGAGGGAGAGAGACAGAGAGAGAGAGAGGCAGGCAGACAGAGAGACAGACAGACAATAGCTCATGGAGATTCAACTACGTTGAGAGACGCTGCACTGACTGTCACAGTGACTGACCTGCAGGAGTGCGTCTCGCGCCTTTTTGATGTCCGCCGGGGTAGCGGCCGGGACGGCGCCCAGCGTCGCATAGTACCCTTTTGGGTCGCTCACGCTCACTGCGGCCATGTTTCTCTCTCGCCGTCTCTCTGCTGTCTGATGTCGCAGCGTAGCGGAAAATGAAAGCACGAGCCCCAAGATATAAGATGCAGACAACGATGGTCGTGGCCCGGAGAAAGAGAAGAGACATCCGCAAATATAGAATGTAGGCAGCCATCTGCACAAGAGAGACACAAACATCAGGTCCACCTACTTCCACACGCTTGCTCCATGACACCAGCCCGCACAAACGAGTCGGGCTGGTCTTGCTGTCTGCTTAAGGCATCCGTACCTTCACTCCGGCGGCTCTCATGCATCACTTACACACCGCGCAGGCGCAACGCGTGCACCAAAGTGTTGCGCAGAACCCTCTCGCCTGCAAGCACAGTCCATGGCACACAACGTACAGATGTAACCCATCGCCCGTCATGTGCGGGAACCTGGAAGTAGTAGTGGTTGTCGCCTTTGGTCTTTCCGTCCTCCTCGGCCAGCTGGTGGGCGCGCCGGCGCTTGCTGAACGACATGACACACACGCAGACAAACCAAAGGCCGAGTTCAGTGATCATCAATGTGGCGTCTCGGTAGGTGTGCTCGTCCTCACGACTCCTGGAACTCGGCCTCGCTCGTGTTGGCCATGGCCAGCAGCTCCCGCTGGACGTCCAGCCGGGCCTGCGTGAAATGCATTGTCAGCCTCTGTGTCTCTTTCTGTGTCTGTTTCTGTGTCTGTGTGCCTGTCACCTCGTCGTAGTAGTCCTCCACCGGTTTGTTCGCGGGGTCCGCCAGCTTCATCGTAAAGGCCCGCGTCGTAAACCTGGCAGCCAAAGATAGAGAGAGAGAGAAGACGCATAAGACATTGATTGATCAATGGAAGCACTCGGTGAGACAGCTGAGTGATGTGTGTAGTGGCGCCCCTGACATGTCGTCGAAGGTGCGGCCCAGTCGGGTATCTGCATGTCACTCACACACATGCTCTGTGTGTCGCTGTGTCGCTGACTGCTCGGCCTCTCTGTGCATGCGCCCTTACCGTCAGCAATCCCCCCAGCAGTTTGCTCTTCCCCCTTGAAGAAAGCCCCCAGCAGCTTCAGCGGCGCTGCATGGCAGATGGATGGCACAGGAATGTTGACGTCGGCCAGGGATGTCTCAGTGTGTGTCTTACTCGTCGCGTTTCTTCTTCCTGTTCTCCCTGTTCCTCTTGCCCCGCTGCTTGGCAGAAGGGCAGGTGCGGCCCTTGGTGGCCTGCCTCTGCTGGCGGCTCGGTGCCTCGCGCAACTCCCCCTCGCCGTGCGCATACGGGCACTGCAATGGAAACACCGTGCAACGCACGCACCAGACTACAAACAGTGCAAATGAGCTCAGGGACGTCTCACCATGGCCTGCGAGCAGCCCCTCCCGCTCATGAAGTCCCGGCAGAGCTGCGTCTTGTGCATCAGGGCGAAGAAACGTTTGTTGCCGTTCCTGCAAAGGGATCAAGTTGTGCCGCTCATTCCATTCATTGCACATCAGTGCAAAGCGGCTCCTCACCTCCCTCCGCTGGGGCTTGTTGATGGCCGGCGCCACCTGATGCCGTCCGTTGCTCGACATTTCCCACCAAAATTGCGACATCGTCCCACTATGCCGTCGAGGCAATGCATTGGGTGCAGATGTCTGAGTGATGACGATTCTACAATCTGCAACACCGACACACAACACACACATGGCAGGCAGTGCACGAGTGCGTGCATCGTGAAATTGTCTTTTCTACCGGCCATTTGTCATGGCATGACATGGATCCTCACCTGCTGATGCCCGCGCTGATCTGCATCGAGTTGCTCATTGCCGCAGCCGCACCCTAAATCGAAACCATACACACAAGTGTCCGGTGAACGAGCGTGTGTGTCAAGTGCATCGACGTACCTGAAGACGATACGGTGCCCATGGCGGCAAGCAGACGTCGCACAGGCCACGAGAGAAGGCGCACCCACCGACACAGATCGGTATCCTGCGTCACCAGGGTATCACGGAACACAGCAGATCTGCGTGATAGAAGGCAAGCAAAGCGGACCAAACTTCGTCTTTCTGAAGCACTCGCTCCGCCATGGTGAGGTGGTTGGTGCGGCTCTCCCCGCCCCATGGCCCTGTCGGCCAACACCTCGTGGATGTTCAACGAGATGCATGCCTGCACACACATACGTCGCTATGCGCATGCACACTGCTTTCCCTCTCTTTCCCTCACATATATTCCGCAATGAGGCTCACCTTGACCATGCGGCTCCTGCTGTCGGCCACGCGCCTTAAGGACGCCTTGAGAGGGGTGAAAGGCGTCAGAGGCACTCTGGGGGTGCCGGTGGGAATGAGGCGGACACAGAAGAGGGGCACCGACCGGGTGTGTGTTTGTGTGAGGGCCGTGAGGTCGTCTGTGAGGATGGCGCCAGAGACATGATGCGAGGGGCTGGGTGGGATGAGAAAGGGTTAGGCGGTGGGAGGGCGGCGGGCTGCTGGGCGGGCGACAAGAGGGGGTAGGAGCTGGATGGGCGTGTGTATAGAATGCCCTCAAGCAAGCCTCAGAGAGGCCGCGAGGGCTGTGGGAATGCCCGCAAACTGTGCACGCAGGCACACTGCAGGCGGTGAATGCCCTCGCAACCCCTCACTTCCGAAGGAGAAAAGGGGGCGAGGGCCACGCCCATCGTAGTCTACCCGTTGCCTTGCTTCCTGACAACAAAGAAAAGACCAATGTTGACGGAATGCGTGCATAGCCATATCTCTTGATCGATCACTCTGTCACTGGCCTGGTCAGCCATCGGCTGCTGCAGTGCAACCCAATGGCCGCTGAAGGCCCTGGAGAACCTGAAAGCAACGGAGGAAAGGACAGTTCACAGCGAGACACACTTGTTGGCCTACAATCTGTCATTCATGTGCATACCACGGGTGTCGCAGGATCGTATCATAGTTCAGTGTGTGGGGCCGACGGGTGAGGGTGTCGTAGAGGTCATAGGCCTCTGGGCTAGCCAGGGGCCGCTGTAGACAGCACAGCCAGCCAGCAGAGGCAACACGAACAATGGACATAGATGAGTGGATGAATGGAGCTTGTTCTGTGACATAAAAGTGGGTGCAGCAGCCGCGTCGCTTGTGCGGCCCGTACAGCAACTCACCCATGACCGACCTGCGAGACAAAAGAACACAACCAATTGGGGAGGTGCAGCGAGGCAATTATCGTAGAGCGCGTTACCCTAGCCCCCTAATGTCCATGATCTCGCCATGCCTCAGCCTCTTCTCGGGCATCATGAAATCCTGGCTGTCTTCTGCTCTTCATACGCTGAAGTACCATCCTCCTCATCTTTGCCCTACCTCCGCAGCAAACGCGCTTCCCCAACCGATGAGCTTGAGCGGAGGCGTCGACCCGTCCCGCCCTGTCCTCCACCTGATGTTGGCCGCTTTCAGATCCCTGCGACACGACACCAACCATGACAGCCAGACTTTTGCTGCCTTGCGAATGGCGTTTTATGTCCAACGGACCTGTGAGTAACCTTGGCCTTGTGCAGCAGCTCTCGAAGAAAGAGGACCAGGGGGAAGAGCACCTCTTTGGCCTCCTGCTCACTGATGAGGGAGCGGCCCAATGGCGTCTTCCGGGAGGTCTTACCCGTACATCTCCATCTCCAGGAAGACACTGTCGTTGCTCTTGGGGATGCGGCCCTTCTTCGGACGAGCATCCAGCTGCAAGACACACCAAACAAGGCAGGTTTCGACCCAGTGTGCAGAGAAAAGCTGCTCCTACGGTGACGCCAGGGGCGTCTGTCTGTTTGTCTGTCTGTGTGCGGCCTATTTGTCGAATACGAATTGCGACAGAGTCTTGGCGGAGTGCCGCAGGGCCAGCACATACCGCCGCGCAGTAACGATCTGGTTGCTGATGGAGTCCCAGAAGGTGTGATACTCTTCACCATCCGACCCCACGGCCAACACAAAGTGGCTGAAGTTGCAGGCCTATGTTGGACCGAGATTCTGGCCTGCATACACATCACACACCACTCTTTCCACACACACCACACACACACACACAGGGCGTGCCCCTCTCCCCCCTCACCCACCACACTGATGTTGTCTGGTGTTGCTTTGAAGTACCGCAGGACGACCTCCTCACCGAGCGCCTGCAGCTCGTTGCCGATGCGCCGCTCGTCGGTGGGCAGCTTCTTTAGTGCCTGCATCTCGCCCCTCGTCCCTTCCGATGCGGTGCCCGTGTTGGTGCCGCAGAGGCGCCGCTCCGCTTGAAACATCTTCAAACAAAAGAAAGATACCACATTCAGAGATGGCCAAGCGCTGTAATCTTTGTGCTGTAGTAGCAGCAGCTGTACCACTGAGCCGCTGACTGCTAGGTCTCCCCTGTCCAGCCGAGGGCGGTGGGCGGTGGGCCGTGTTGAAGAAGATGGTGGGCTCTTCGTCGTCTCCGATGTCCACAATGACGATGCAGCTGTCGTGAGGGCTCTCCGGGACAGGCTGCAACATGAAATCCTGCCATCGGCAGCCATCCAATGCACGTCCGCACATCCCCCCTGCTCGTCTTTCCCCTACCTCCGCAGCAAAGGCGTTTCCCCAATCGATCAGCTTCAGCAAAGACGTCGTCCCGTCTCCCTTGTCCTCCACCTGATGTTGGCCGCCTTCGAATCCCTGCAACAAAACACCAACCACAACAGCCAGAAATCTACTGCTTTGGGAATCGTATTTTGTTCTCAACAGATCTGTGAGCAACCTTGGCCTTGTGCAGCAGCCCTCGAAGGCAAAGGACCAGGGGGAAGAGCATCTCTTTGGCCTCCTGCTCACTGATGAGGGAGCGGCCCGACGGCGTCCTCCTGGAGGCACAGTAGCGCTGCAGCTCTAGCTCGTAGATCTTCATCTCCAAGAAGACACCGTCGTTGCTCGTGTGGACCCACCGTCATCGAAAGAGAAAGATGTACCAATACAATACAATAAATACACCCAGGCGTTGCTCGAAGCACACCCTCGGGCCGCACCTCTATCGAATCAGAGAGACACACACCCGTGCCCCTGCTGCTGCCGTTGCCCCTCAGAGGCAAGGAGTGTGAGGAGCTGGTGCTCTTCCTCCCTCTTCATGAGCGCATGCAGCTCGTTGCCGTCGATGCGACGCTGGTCGGTGGGCAGCTTCTTTAGTGCCCGCATCTCGCCTCTCGTCCCCTCCGATGCGGTGCCCGTGTTGGTGCCGCAGAGGCGCCGCTCCGCTTGAAACACCTGCAAACAAAAGAAAGATACCACACTCAGAGGTGGCCAAGCGCTGTAATCTTTGTGCTGTAGTAGCAGCAGCTGTACCACTGAGCCGCTGACTGCTCAGTTCAGGTTGAAGAAGATGGTGGGCTCTTCGTCGTCTCCAGTTGTCGTGAGGGCTGTCCGGGACAGGCCTGGTGGTCAGCATCAGTACGGCATCATAGTACGCCATTACTTGTTGCATCGTCGCCTCTGAATGGACGTCTTCTCCCGCGCCGGGCGCCAGCTGACGCCGTCCGTTGCTCGAAGAAAACAGACGGCGTCAGGACCAGGAGAAACGACAGAAGCGGTTTGGAATCGGTTCTTTTTTTCTTGAGACGGAGGCGTCTCCGCCATTCTCGCCGAGCTCGCGAGGGCATTCCGTGAAACTGCACAGTGGATCGCGGTGGGTGAACAGCATTGAAAGGCAGGTCTGTGTATGCCATTGCACGAGTGACGACCAGCCCCGGGGAAAATCCGCACCTCCATCCATCTACGTCCATCGTTTCGTCACATCACGGCGCAGATCTCATCCACCTCCATCCATCTATCTCCATGTAGCTGAGGCTGCTACGGCTCACCTGGATCATGAAGGACGGCAAGGCGTCGACGGTGCTCAAGGCCTGCAGCTCCTCCATCTCGTTGGTCCTGCTGTCCATTTTACTGCTGCGAGTGAGCCTACCGCTGGTCTATTATCCCCCTTGGGCGCAGCAGACAGCCGCTGCTGATGGCGCACTTCTACCATGCCATCGGCACTTCCACGCCTACCTCCTGACCATCAATCTCCAGCTCTCCAGCGGCAACTTCTCCCTCTACCGTGATAGCAGCTTGTCAGCTGACGCCGACACACATGCCCTGCAGATCACCCACGCAACCAAGACATTCCTCCTCTTCGTGACGGCCACCGACAGCGACCATCGCGGCACCTGCATCCGATTTGCTGCGGCCTGGCTCAGCTACTTGTGTCTGGCGGTTGCCTTCCTCGCCGGATGGGTGCTGCGGGACCCCTGCAGCGGCAAAAGGCGGGAGATAGAGCGGGTGAGAGGCGACAGTAGGGAGCTGGTGGTGTGGCGTCGGATCGCACATGTGCTGGACAAAGCCCTGAGCAAGTATGAGAAGGTCCACACGAGGGGGAGGGACAGGCGTCAAGGACGATGTAGCCTACCGGCCGACAGCCATTGCAGTCGTGATAGGTAAGAATCAGCACCCCCACACCACTCACAGGCAGGGCAGGGGGAGGGATTGAGAAGGCATGTTTGCTGTTGTTGTTGTTGTCGTTGTTGTTGTTGCAGTAATATGGCGGCTGAGCCATCATCGTGTGCGGACGTGGCACGGTGGGCGAAACAGGCGACATCGTGTGGACAATGGACATCAAGTGTGCTGTCCTTTTCGGCTGCTGCCAGTCTCGAGGCGCGTGTGCGTGAGCGTAGTGAGCGTGTCCAGGCGCTGGAAGCAGAGCGACATGCACTACTGCAGCAGCTCCAGAGCCGAGAGGAACAATACCGTGATCAGTGCAGCAAGTGAGAGGAGACGAACATGGTTGTTTCTCTGCATGTCTTTCTTCCCCTCAGGTATGAGTATGAGCTGCTGTCGTCGATAGAGAGGACCAAGGAGCTGTCACGTCGACTGAATGAGGCGAACGCCGTCATAGCCGAGAGCAACGCGAGAGTGCAGATGCTAGTGCAGGCACACCAAACCGAGAATGCCCGGTGGGTGGGGTGGTCGGGTGGATGAGACATGCAACCACACACACACATATCGAGCATTCATGGTGGGGTCGTGTTGTGTTGTGTTATGTGCCTGCACCCCTGCAGCCTCCGTGACAGCAACCACAGGCGGTGGCTGCGCGTCCAGGAGCTGCACCAAGAACTCGCCCTCATGCAGTCACACATGCAGGAGTCAGCACACACCACATCCATCCATCCATCCATCTGTGAGCACTGATTTCTTGTTCTATTATTCTCTGTGTGGTGTCATGTTAGGCGTGAGGCCGACGTGCAGGCCAAGGAGGCCCTTCTGAGTAGATGCCCACACGAGCTGAGCCCGTCTGCGGCCCTCATCAAGCAGCTGGCCAACGACGAGACGTAGTCATGTGGCTGACTTGCCCAATATGGAAGGATGCGGGGGAGATGGATGGATGATAGCAGTAGGGTGGTGGGGGTGTTGACGGATGCCTGTGGATAGATAGTTGGTGGCCCCGTGGTGGGTGAGCGGGTGAGACAGACATGCATGATCTGATCGGGACGGCGGCATTGAAGGCAGAATGCATCGATCAATAATGAATGCATCAGTGAGGGGCCATGTACGTGTCATAGCCATCCCATCCACACAATAAACGTACCTTGACCGACCATTCAGCCACAGGCAGGCAGACAGACAAACAAACAAGTACACACACATCACATGCACTGCAGCACTAGGGACTACACATGGGACTGTCTACACGACTAAGCAGCACAATCTCTCTCCCCGCTCCCTCCCTCCATCGATCCATCGATCAGCTAGCTATGCAGTGGTGAACCCTTGGCTACCGTATCGGCACGCAACAAAGACTTTCTCCTCCAGTAGCGCACTGCTCTTATAGGGCGGCAAGTAGAGGGTGTTGAAGCACGTGGCGGCACGGGGCAGCCGCATCGTGGCAGCGTCCTCCTCACGGTCACGGCAGATACGAAATAGAGTCTGGCCGCCCAGACCCAGCAGGTGACTGCATCGCGCACAGAGACATACACAGAGAGAAGGATGAACACACAACAACCTGATGTGGTTGTATTAGTGGTGGGTGGGTGCTTACGCGAATCCCCCCGCCGGCGGATGTGACGTGCCAGTCGCGAAGCGGAGGAGCAGCCTCTGCTCATTCTCATGCAGACGGCGGACGAACGACCAGAACCATCGGATCTGAGAGAGAGAGGGACGGACACCACACACACACACACACACATTCGTGTACTACTGACCACTGTCTGCCCCCGGCCACCTATCTATAGCATCGACCAGATGAATACCTGGTCCGAGTCGGCTGTGTATCTCTCTCCGTATGTGGTGTTGGCCTCCCAGTCGTCGACGTTGAGGGGCTCAGTTCCGGTGCCCCTCACGCACAGCTCCAGCTCGGCAGGCGTCAGGATGGAGATCCACTCGCCGGGCAGCACGTACTGCAGGCCCTGACGCAGCCGCTCGAGACCCTGCCGCCGCACACCCCACAAACGGGACCTGTTATATTAGGCAAGCAGACATACGAGAGGAAGGATGGGTGGTCGGTTGTGGTTGCTATGGTTGGTGTGTTTGCTCACGTGGTTGCCAGATAGACGAACTGTTCTTTGTTGTCATCGGTCACTTCGACGTTCTCGCCGTTGGGCACCAAATCGACCTGCTCGCTGCGCCCCTCACCCACCGGCACCTGGAACGAGATGAGGCCCTCGTTGATCGAGCCCTGCAGCTCCATCTTGACCAAGTCCTGCACACACACCAGCACGACAAACACATGATAGCACTCACTCATGCAGCCAGTAGCTGCCTGATGGTGTGGTTACCTTACCTGCCAGTTCTTGTACAGGTTCTGGTCCCACTGCTCCATCAGCTCCACCTCGACGGTCTCCTCCTCAGCCCCTGCCTCCAGGGGCTCCTTCCGCAGCAGATACGCCCACCCCGCCAGCGCCAGAGGGAAGGCGATGGTCTCGCCGTTGACGAATGCGGTGCCGAGAAGGCGGCCCAGGCCCTCGTAGAACGACAGAGTGTTGTCGTCCTGGTCGATGTCGATCTTGGGCAGCAGATAGCGACCGCCACTGGGGTTGGCCTCAAATGCTGACAACGGACTGGAAGACGCACCCTGCATAATTAATTGCATCATGGCCACAGTGAGATAAGGCGATCCACACCCACACACACACTCTCTCTCTCTCTGTTCGTTTCTACCTCTTCTGTGGTGGCCGCATGAGCTTGTCCCGCCTGTGCCGCGAACACGCCGTGGAGTGCGTCCCACATCTCCCGCTGAGGCCCCAGGCAGATGCCCTCCTCCTCACGGCCATGCAGCTTGAATTGCACGTTTGGCCGGGGTGTGAGGAGCATGTTCCTGTTCTTCTGCAGGAGCTGCCGGGCCACCGATTGGGACAGCTGGGTCCTCTCGACCATCAGTGAGTAGTGCCGCTCAAAGAAGACGATCTCGTTGTCGTTTCTCGTGTCGATGTAGCCCTCTCTAGGGTCGAATTCCCAGGTGTCGAGGTGTTCTGGCGGGGGGAATGCAGCCATGAGGTGGCTGTGTGCGGTGGCGGGGCCGGTTGAGAAGTCGTAATAGGCCAGGAGTTGGGCGGCGCGGCGGTAGTTGTAGTCGCGGGTGTGCTTGGTGCGGGCCTTGTTGATGAGGTAGGCCAACCAGCGGTTCTTGTTGTCGAAATCCAACACCGTGTAGCCGCGATCTAACGAAACACAACACACACACGCACACACACACGAATGTGGTCAATTGTGTCGGACGAGCGCATTCTATCATGTGGTGAATGGATGACGTGAGGTACCTGCCATGGTGCGTAGGAAGCTCAGGTGTGTGTCGAGCTTCTCGATGCGGCTGTTGGTCCTCAGGTAGGCGTTGAGGACGGCGAAGAAAGACGGCACCGTGCAGAGGTAGCGGATGAGCTTGCGGATCTGCCTGGCGCTCGCGTCGTTACCGTGCAGCGCGCCGCTGGCCAGCCGCTCCAGCTGCCCCTCCGGATTGGCCTCAAACAAGGTGGCCAGAATCTCGCGCTGCTCGAGCGACCGGCCGCCATCGGGACCCTCGCGCGTGAAGTCGGCGTACAGCAATGGAGGCCAACCTGACAGCCGACAGCCATCTGGTCAGTGTGAATTGCAGTCTTCCTGGCTGCCCACACCTCTGAGATCGACAGCTGTGGGGTCGGCGCGATGGCTGAGCAGTAGGCGGATGATGTCGTTCTTGTTGCTGGCGCTGGGAATGGACGCAAAGTGCAGGGGGGTGGCCCTGGCCTTGTCGCGGGCCGTCACCGCCGCACCCGACTGCAGCAGCTCACGCGCACACTCGAGGTGGCCTTGCAGGCAGGCTACATGGAGGGGCGTCTGGCCTGAATGGCCACACACACACACACACACGGCCTTGCCTTCGTGTTGTGTTGTCTTGTGTCGTGTTTTGCTTTGTACCCTCCTCGTTGAGGACGTCAGCACTGAGGTGTCGCTGTCTGAAGTGGGACAGCAGCACTCTGAGGGCATCGGTGTGCACGTCATAGGCCGCAAAGTGGAGAGGCGTGTTGCGGCCACCAATGCCGTCGGGGAGCGCGCCTCTTTTCCCTGCCTTGGTCTGCTTGGCAGCATCAACTCCCCGCACGCTCAGCAGAGACCTGAGAAGCCAGAAAGTGACGACAGACGAGCATCACTGGGTGCGTTAAAATATATGGAGGCCTCTGCATCTCTGTGTTGTCGTACTGGAGTGCTTGGGCGTCGCCGTTCTTGGCCGCGACGTGCAGTGCGGTGTGTTTGCCGCCGCCGACCGGGTGGTGGATGAGGTTGGCCAGGGACCAAGTCGATCGGCTGTGGTCATCTGTCCACATGGAGGCTCCGTCGATCAGGACCTGCTTGTCGACCAACGGGCATGCATCCATCGATCGCATCAAGACAACCGTGAGTGACTTAGATAGGTACGTACGTACGTACCTGAAGCACTGCCGTGTGACCCCTGGCAGCGCTGTGGAAGAAAGGCGACGCGCCATTGCTGTAGGCCAGCCACCCACAATGAGTTGAGTGATGTGTGTGGTGTGATGTGTGTGGTGTGATGCCACCCTCCTGACCTGTCAGGCTGGATCCACTTCTCAAACTCGCCCCAGTCCATCCCCTCCTCACCACAGATCGTGTCCACTATCAGCTGGCACCCCTTCGCATTCCCATACATGGCGCAATAGTGCAGCGGAGACCTGTCCTCCTCGTCCGTCACCAGACGGAGGCCATCGCCTCCACTTGCCGCCTTAGACCGGGCTGATGAAGCGGCTGCTGCTGCTGCTGCTGGAGGGAAAGAGTCACCGTCGCGGGCCGCGAGCAGCAGCTGCAGGGCTTCATCGGTCTCACAGGCGGCCGCTATGTGGATGGGCGTCCTGCCAAACGACACCTCCTTGGCCATGGCTGGGGCACAGCTGTTGGCAAAGAGGGCGGCCGAATCCATCTGCCCGTGGGTGATCGCCCAGCAGATGGCTACGGCGATCTGCGTCTCGCGCTTGGCGTTCCTGGGCATCTTCTTGAGTCCTTTGCTGAGCTCGTCGAGGCCCTTGAACCGCTGCAGCGCCTTCACGAGCGGGTTGGCCTGCTTCTTGCTAATGCGGAACAAGTCTGCGGGGGGCGTGAGGTCTTCCTCCCACTTGTGTGTGGGGCCCTCCCCTTCGCCCGCACCGTCGTCCTCTTCCCCCGCCCCCTCGCCACTGTCGTCGATGAAGTCATCCATCGACGACACATCGCTGGCCGCCGGGACGCCCTCATCCTGCGATGTGTCGTCGGCGGCGGCCGGCTGGCGATGCATGGTCTCGGACAGGTCGGACTCCTCGTCACTCGACACCGTACCGCGCCGCCGAAAGTTGAACACTGGAAAATCTGGCGGGAGAGGCAAGGAAGGACACACACATGATCAATCCGCATGTACGATGACGGGGTGTCTCTCTGGGTATGTGGGTGTGCTGGCCCTAGCAGATGCCTACCTACCTCTGTGGCCCCTTCGCTTCCCCTTCTCCTTCATCTTCTTCTCGGACTTCCGCTTCTTCTGGTTGTTGCGCGACAGTGACGGCACAGCGGCAGCAGCGGCAGGGGCCTCTTCCTCAGGGAACACCAGGCCAGCATCACCATCCGCATCATCCTGGTGGCTCTGCATCTCCTCGTCCTCATTGTCCACCTCCTCGGTGGGGCGCAGCCTGCGCTTCTTCCTGCGCGAGACGACGTCACTGCCACTGTCGTTGTCGTTGTGGTTGTGTGCGGCTGCAGCTGCTGCCGCCGCCGCGACCGGAGCCCCACCACCGATCTCGTCATCGTCTTCGTCAATGACCGTCTTGCGCCGCTTCTTTGATCTGCACGCACAGTGACGCCAGAAAGGCAGGCATCTTGGGTGTGTTACCATCGTCGCTTCCCTCCCTCCCTCCTTGTGTTGTGTTGTGTTGTGTGGTACCTAGTTGCCAGCTTGTCGTCGGATGACTCGCTGCTGTTGTTGTTGTCCTTCTTGTTGGACTCATCATCGTCGCCAAGCGCCGCCCTCGAAAGCCTCCTGCGTCTGGCTGAGCGCTGACTAATCACCCTGTTCTCCTCTTCTTCCCCTTCATCCAAACGGTCGTCCCGCCGAGTCCTTACCATCCTGCTACGCTCCAAAACACAGCCGACGCCGACGCCTTTCTCTCGACCCCTTCAGAAAGCTCGCAGACGCGTTGAAAGCGGACGGCTGGATCTGCCGCTTGCCAAAGGCGTTGAGGACAGAGGCAGCGGGGACGCGAGAATATGATGGTCATTGGATGGATTCTCGTGGTGCTGAGCATCTTCCGTGCCGCCTCATGCTCTGAGATCGGCTCTGCAGATCTGCCATCGTCAGGCAGTCGTGTGGCGTCGCTGCGTCCGCAGCTGCAGGAGCTGCTGAGTCGCAGCACACCGCGCGACAAGAAGGTGTCGCTTGCAGAGACGCTGATAGATGAGCTGCGGAACGACCCTGCCGCATCGGCACGGATTATCGAAGAGGTGATTGATGTAGGCACGCACACACACACACACACACACACACGGAGAGAAGACTGGTGCGGCATACAGACAAGCGCATGCGTGTGTGTGTGTGATTTGCCGTGTGGTGTTCCTGCAGGTGTTGGATGAGCCTGACGTGAAGGGCCTGTTGAGTATGGTCAAGTTTGCGCTATCTGAGTACCGCAGCAACCTGAGGAGCCTCCGCCGACTGCTGGTCGACATCATTCTGCCGGAAATACAGCGAGACGGAGACGAGGGGGAACAAGGCAAGTCCACACATGCGTCCATCCATCCATCCAAGTGCAGTTTCACATCATATGTGCGCTGTTTGTCGTGTGTGTGCAGATGACCTGGCTCTTCTGAAGGATGGCCTAAAACTCATTGCCCGCGTCCTGCCAGAAGCCAAGTCAGGTGTGTGACTCCCAATGGACATCTCGTTCCGTCATGTCTATCTGATTCTTCGTTTTGTCGTGTCGTGTGGATGCGTTGCAACGAAATGGAATGCAGCCCGTGCGCTCGAGAGCGAGGCCCGGCGTCGCATGCGTCGCACCAGCCCCAAGGAGATGCTCACACGCACGCCCAGCGGCCTCGAGACCCCCAAGTACCTCGTCATCAAGCGCACGCGGAGATACGAAATCCGACAGGTGTGTCGCCCAACGTCCATGCGGCCCTCTGCAATGGTCTCCCTCTCTGCGTGCCCCTCTGCCCTCTGCCAGTACTTGCCTTACAGTGTGTGCGAGACGGCCATGGATGACGAGCCCTACCGCACCGCCATCGACCCCGCCCGCCGACGCGTTCAGAACCCCAAGCGATACTCGGCCTTCTACCGCCTCGCCAACTACCTGTTCGGGGGCAATCGACGCAAGGAGAGCATGGCCATGACCACACCCGTCCTGATGGACTTCACCGAGCCAAGACCGTCCCCTTTCCGACGCGCTTTGAACGCAATTGGCGTGGGTGGTCGCCGAGTGCGGATGTCGTTTGTGATGCCGTCCAAGTACTGGGAGAGGGAGGGGGGCTCTAAGACCCCGCCGCGGCCGGAGGGGTGGGGCGTACGGGTGCGGTACGTGGAGCCGCAGGTGATGGCCGTGGCATACTTCGGGGGCATCAGCAACAAGGCCAAAGTCGACGCTGCCAGAGACAAGTGAGCCGGGGCGGGAAGAGTGGGCGAGTAAGGGCTGGCTGTCATTGATCTGATGGATGTGTGTGTGCAGGTTGCTGTTGGGGCTGGCCAAGGACGGCATCGACGTGGAAGACCCCGAGTCGTACACGCTGCTGCAGTACAACGACCCCTTCACCGCGCCCTGGATGAGGCGCAACGAGGTGGCCGTCAAGGTCAGCTGGCCGCCCTCCACCAGATCTTTCCTCAAGAAGTGAAGTGAAGCGCTCTCTTCCCTTGTCCGCTCTGGCATCTCCTACCTAGCTTCGCTGTCTTGTACATACACACATGCAATCAATAGGGTCTGTCTGTCTCTGTTTATCTGTGGCTCTTTGTGAGAGAGGGAGGGAGGGAGGCGAGATGGATGGATGGATGGATGGACGAGTGAGTGATTAGTCAGTCGTTTAAGCGTGTGAGAGACTGGCTTGTAGCGAGCGAGCCAGCGAGTTGTGTTGTATCCTCCCATGCATGTAGCTGTGGCAAAGACGGACAGCGTAGCAGTCAGTGGATGGGGGTGGATGAGATGAGATGCGATCGATGGTGCAGCGACTATCTATTGACATTGGTGGACTCACACGGCAGTCAGACGGACGGATCCGATCCGGACACGCATGCACTATACAACATGTATGACGACACGACCCGTGTGCAGCCACTTCTGAACGAACAGAACACCTCACGGACGGATAAACGCACATACCGCCTCCGCATCTAATCAGCTTCCCCTCATGCTCGCGCCACGGCTGTTCGTTCCCTCTATGTGATCCACTGGCGTAGGCTACTCAGTCCATTGGTTCTTGCTTGATGACTATTGGCTCCTCCTTCAACACTGGAGCTGCGATCGACGCCGGCTCGGGCTGCGGCAGTGTGGGGGCCGCCGCTGGCTCGGTGTGGGGCATCGTCGAGTCTGTCGGCGGACACTGGGGGTCCGGCTCGGGCTCGTGGATGACCTGCACCCACTCAGACAAACATAATTATGTCTGGGCCCCCCCTTCAGTCTTACCGCTCTGCGTGTACGCCACGTGGCGGCCTCTCGCACCCACTCCTCCCCCCTCCCCAGCGACTCTGCCTCTTCGACCAAGGCCTCCACAGCCGCCAGGAGGGTGGCGGTGTCTTGCCGAATGGCCCCCAGCAGTTGACGGGAATACCACTTGTGAGAGCTTACGACCACGGGCATCCTATCGCCACGCTGCCAACGGGGATAGGTGATCTGCTCTGCTGCAGCGGGGGGGCCGTCGGCAGGGGTGCGTTCTATGTCGCGGTCGTCGAAGTGCTGCTTGATGTACTGCAGGCCCTGATCTGTCACGTCGGGCAGGTGAGCGGGGGGCTGTTGGTTGGCCACCATGTCCGCAACCATCGCCTGGCACTCCGCCACACCGGCCCGACCAGGCACGTCGGCTGCCCGGCCCTCCCTCCCGATGCCAAGCTCCAGCAGCTCCACAGCACACCGCAGCAGACGCCAGTAGGTGACGGTGACTCCCGTGGCAGCGTCTCCTTGGGTGTCGGTGATGCGCAGTAGAGAGAGGAGTGTCTCTGCGATGGCGTGAGTGAGGCAGAGGGTGGGGCTGGGAGGGAGGAGGCTGCTGTCCGCCTGGTAGTAGAGCTGCTGGTTGAGGTAGCGGGCCACCCACGCGCCGATGCTGCCATGACTGGCTGGTGTTGCAGCGTCGACCTGCCGTCTCTTGAGCAGGTCGCGGTTGTGGCACACGACGGTGAGGCAGAAATAGGTCAAGGCCTCCGGGCAGCGCTCCATCACTGTCGCTGGCAGCACGGCGTCCCGCTCCTCATCGCCGCTGTCCTGGTCTTCGGCCTGGAATCCCTCCTGTGGCTCGTGGTGTGGTGGTCTGTATGTGTTGAGGTTGCACGACAGGGGGTCCTTGAGGCTGCTGGCGAGGAGGGAGAAGAAGGGGCTGTCCCACCGCAGCAGCGGCCACTCGTGCACCAAGAAGACGGCCAGGCGGCGACAACGACACGAACGTGCGATGTGCCTGAGAGACAGACAGACGACACACATGTCGAGATGTCACCGGTGTGGATCAGTGGGCGGGCTGGCGGCAGGCATGTGCGTGGGTCTTTTGCATTTTCCCCTTACGCGAGCGGCTCAGCGACTTTGCCCATAGCTCTCTGACGCCCCCAGCCGGCCCCCCACGCACACACCACCTCTGTGGCCATGAGTAAGGTCTTGACTTCATCGGCGACCGGTGCTGCCGCTGCTATGCTGGCGACCTGTGCCTCCAAATGAGGCCGCAGGATGGCTTGGTGGACCACCAGTGACGGGTGCTGGCAGAGAAACGCGCACAGGAACCTCACCCACAACAGCTGGAAGCCAGAATCGACACCTGATGACAGCAGAGTGGCAGTCACGGATACGCACATGCCACTGGATGCACACAGAACTTACCGGGGAGTCTGGATGCCGCCCCCATGCTGTCCGCCAGCTCCTTGACGCACCGCTCCGCCCCACTGGAGGCCGCTGCGTCGTTGGACAGACAGTGGGCGATTGTGATGGCCCACTGCATCCCCTCCCTGATCTCATGGAGGGGGCTGGAGCCTGGCGCCTCCGGGAAGAGCTCCCCCGTGTCCGCATCGCTCACAAACGGCATACCGAGCCCTGAGCAAGCAGGGCAGACAACGTCCGTCACAACAGGCCTGTCTTCGCTGCGCCGACCTGTGCCAGCAACCTACCTTTGAAGCATTTGGCAACGGCAGGCTTGGTCTTGGAGACCTCCCCTTCCCTCCTCGGCCAGCTCAGCAGCGATGTCAGCAGCCTCAAGAGCGCCAACCGCAGATTCGCCCGCAGCTCAGGCAGCCCCGCGATCACCTCACTGGCCCCGTTTGTCAGCTCAGCCAGAGCCCCGAGGGCCCGCATGCAGCCTTTCCCCTCTGCGCGTCTCGCTTCCTGTATCTCCGGCAAGTCTGCCGCCACCTTAGGTGCATGAGTGTAGGGGGCGGCGAGAGGCGTGAGGGCGTCCCTGAAGGTGGTGGTCTGTGTGGGGCCTCTGCGGTCGGCTGAGGGCCAGATGAGCTGCGTCGAGAGGTGGGGGAATGTCGTCAGGATGGCGTGTGCGGCGAGGGTGCAGGACTTGACAAGTGCGTGGGCGATCTGCGCCTTGAGATTCTGTTGGGGTATGAGGCCGGGGAATGCATCCCTGATGTGTTGGAAGAACATGTCCTTGGCCTCACGCCACGACTGCGCTGCAATCTGAACACGCCACGCACAGCAAAACGATTGAATGAGCCCTCTAGCTATTGTTTCTTTTTCCCTGCGGCCATATGAATGACCTGGGTAATGTGAAAGCACCGCAACACGCACTGCCAGTCGTCCGGCACATGGCCATCACCCCCCATCGCCCCATCTGCCACTGCATACGCCTGCCGAACGGCACCGACGAGGGACTGCAGTGACAGCCACAGCTGCCGAACCGCCGTGTTGAGGCGCCGCTCCAGCGCAGCCGATATCTCCTGAGAGGCCTTGACGCGCGCCATCTCCTTGAGACATCCATCTATCTCGCCCACCCACACGTCGATGGCAAGGAGAGTGACGACCCGACACTTAGACACTCTCGCGATTGCCGGCTGTTGACCGTCTCCAGCTGGCACTGCGCGTGTGGCCGTCTCGAGCTGCTGCAGGTGGGCCATCAAGCAGGCAAACACGGGGCGGATGAGGTTGATGGTCTCCTGCACTCTGGCGAGCTTCCTCCTGTCAGCCCTGATGAAATCTTCCATCCCGGCGGGCAGATCTTGGCCGTTGGCCGGGCCGAGCCGCTGCTGCAACCACGCTGCGTCGGAAATGAGGGTGGCGAGGAGGGTGTTGGTGTTGCCAATGTGCTTCTTGACGGTGGAGTTGGCTGTGGGGTTGGCCGCGGCCGCCGTGCCATGGACGATGGTAGACTGCAGCCATGCCAGGAGGGCCGAGGGGACATCCACCTCGTGTGGCGAGTCGGGGACGGGTGGCTGTCTGAGAAGCTTGGCAGCCGACCGTGGGTCGTGACGCGACACAGCGGCGATGAGAGCTATGGCGATCTTGATGGGATGGTCGAGCCGGTGTGCCCTTGGCGACGCGCCATCATCGACAGATCCGTCCTCACCCACCAGCACCCCCTGAAGCAACCACACACACACGTCGACCGCGAGACGTGTAGATGCGTGGCGTCGCATCCATTCATACCAGTAGGGGCTCGTCAACTTCCCTCGTCTGGTCCTCTCGCTGGGCGTCGGCGGCTACAGCACCCTGCGACCCGCCCTGGTCGGTGCGGGGCGTCATCTGCCTGGCCATGCCGCCGACCAGCTGCCACGCACTCCGCAGCACACGTGTCATGTCGAAGCTGCGCGGGAGCAGAATGCGATCGTCCTGAACGTACGAACGAACGAACGAACGAAGGAACGAACGAACGAACGGACAAACGAAAAGCCATACAGTGCTCTCCAAACTGCGGTCCTCCCCACCTGCTGGTTCGTTGCGCCAAAGAGGAAGCGGCCCAGAAGTTGCGACAGCTGCCACTCGGAGGCGCCCTTGTCCAAACGCTTGGCCACCTCCCGGGCTATCTGCTGCGTCATCGGCTGCCGCCCCTCGCCCGCACCAGTGAGCGCATCTAGGCTCCACAGACGCACCGCCAGTCTGCCGAACCCCCAGCAAACGCGAAACCACTCCCTCTCAGCGCCCTCAATCGCTTGTGGAGGTGATGGAAACTCAAGCAGCGCGCTGCAGTGCGCCGAGGTGGAGGCGAGCCGCTTTGTGGCGCAGTTGAGGGCAGCTGTCTTGACGGGCAGGCCGACAGGGGAAGAGCGGTCACCCAAGTACGCAGCGACCAACAGAGCGACGTGCCACCGATCGTCTGCGCGGTCGTCACGCGCAAGGGCGAACAGCCGGTCCACTATGGCGGTGGCCATCTCGTCGGTTGACGCCAGGCGGCACAGGAGACCCAGCAGTTTGAGCTGCTGCAGCGCCACTGGGGCAGCCGCAGAGGTGGTGTGCGCGGCCTGCTCCCGTCGCTGCCCATGCCTCTCCTCCCCCTGCCGTCTCTGGGCCTCCCTCCTCTCCCTCTCGCGCCGCAGCTGTTCTAGCCCTCGATTGTCCATCTCACGACGGGACAGATACAGCTCGGGGTCAAACGGGCGGCCTCTCCGACGCCGCCCATCCGTCGGGTCCTCCTGGTGGTCGAAGAGTCCATCGCTTGGCTCGGGCTTGGCGGGTTGGTGGGGCTGCCAGGCATCGGGCAGCAGGGTGATGCAGCGGTCGAGAAGTGAGCGGAAGGGGTGGTAGATGTTGGGCTCGTGGGAGAAGACCCCATCGATGGCGGCGGGTAGCTCATCCGGGTTGTGGTGAGGGAGCTGGGTGAGCCACGTAGAGAAAAGGGACAACGCGTCCTCTCCCCCTCCCGTCTCAGTGGCAGCCTCCCCCTGCCTCCGCGCCCCCGGCCTCCCCTCCTCCCCCTTCAATCGTTGCCATGCAGCCCACAGCGCAGATCTCAGCTTGACGCCCTGCTCTGACCACGACCATCCGCTGTCCTCCACGCCCATCCTCTCCCGCAGACGCAGCCTTTGATCCAGAGGCAGACGCTTATAGGATGTGGCGGTGTCGGATGACGGGATGATGAGCGTGCCGTGGCTGCTCGACGCCAGCCGAAGGAAGAGCCGACTGCATGGGTCCTCCTCGAGCGTGCGGATGGCGTCCGACCACGGAGGAATGGTCCTTGGGTCCACTGCTGCCTCGGGGGGTGGCGCGTCCGCTGTCTCATCCTCGCCGTCTGGACCGGCCGACTCGTCCTCACCATCATGATGCATCCGATGCCTGGCGTCCCTCTCTCTGTGCCCGGCACGTCGCTGTTGCCTCCTCCCTCCCCGATGGACTCGCCTCTCTTTGTGGCCCTCTGCGTGCCGTCCTGGCGCCTTGGCTTGCCGCCGACGCCGTCGGCCGGGGGGTTTGCGATTGGCGGGGCTAGGTGAGCGGAGGGGGGCATCCTGGGGTGGTCCAAACAGACTGTCATCGGAGTCGGATGCGCCGAAGAGACCGGTGTCATCCATGAGGTCGCTGGATGAGCCGCTGTCCTCCTGTCGGCCCATGCCGCCGCGTTGCCCCCTTCGCTGTTGATTGAGGAATCGAGAGAGGTGAGGGCCTCTCTCACCGCACTTCTGGTCCTTCTGGGAGCTCTTGACATTCTTGCGCTCTCTGCCTCTGGCGTAGTTGTGCTGTGCCACCCGCTCGAAGGCATGCTTGTCATCGTCGAACAGATTGTTGATGTTGTAGTAGAAGGTGGGAGATGGAGCTACGGCAGCGCGGCCGGCGAAGTCTGACAAAAGGAGAGAGATGGGGGACATCTGCTTACTGTGAGGGCTGACGGATGGGGTGCAGTGTCTGTGTGCGTACCGTCGTGTCCGCCTTCATCCTCCTCGTCATCATCCACTATGTCTACTGGGGATTCTGAGCTCGCTCGCGACCGCCTGCGATGCCTCTTCCGGCCACCATGGCCACCTCTCCTCCCGCCGCCACCCTCACCCTCCTTCTTTGCAGGCCTCCTTTGCCTCTGTCGCTCCTTCTGGCTCACACCGCCGCCGCTGCTGCCGCTCTCACTCGATGTGTCGTCACTGTCACTGCTGCTGTCGCTCGACGATGAGTCCACCTCCATCTCGGCGGGCTGACCGTCGGGCTGGGCGTCCATATCGTCGTCGCCATCTGCTGCCTTGGCGCTTGCTGTCCTCGGGCGTTTCGGAGGCGGGGTGTTGGGGCGTGGGGATGACGGCCTCTTGCGGGGTCTGGGCTTCTCGGAATGAGCTTCTCCGTCCCTGGGGAAATACACGACTGCAGTGTGTTGGTTGTTCCCAACCGACGCACCTCGGGTGAGCAGCCCGTGCCTTCTTCCTCCTCCTCTTGTCCACATCGGGGTGCGCCGGTGCTCTGGGCTGCTGCGACGGTGGGTGCCAGGTGCTCGCCGCCTGATGGTACAGCCGCCACACCTCGCCCAGCAGCAGCTCTGTACGGGTCGTCAAGGCCTGCAGGCAGGCAAGGAAAGGAAGAATGGACATATATCAGTGTGGTGTGCGACAAGCGGGATCACTTCATCCACCATACTTCCTCCTTATGCTCACCTTACCTCATCCAGTGCCAGGTCATACGCCGCCACGACCTTGTCGGTCAGTTGCTTGGCAAACGTCGGCCGCACCCGTGGCAGGGACTCATCACCGCCGGCCTTGTGCAGCCTCTTGCACCCCTCGGCGGACTCCGTCCACACCAACAGGGCCAACAGACGCCACAGCTCCACCCCCCAGCCCTCCACACCAAGCGCCTCATTGACGGCACGAATCATCTGCACACCTTTGCGCAAGACCTCCTGGGCGCTCTGGCTGGTGGCGTCGACTGTGCGGCCTGAAAGCTGCTGCGCCGGCTGATGCTGCAGAGCCTCGACGACGTCGATGAGTGTGCCGGGTGCGATGGGACCGGGCGGGTCAGCTGTGCGAAGGCGCTCCTGTATGCTGCACAGATGGACGACTTGAGCTGCCATGTGTGGCGGCAGGGGCTGGTGCGGTTGCTCCATGCCACCAGATGGATGAATCTCACCACACTGAAGGCAACGAGCGAGTCCGCAGCTGCGGGCAGGAGATGCGAAGCTGCCAGTGACTCATCATCTTCATCAATCCGCCACCAATCACCGTTCATGAATGAGATCTGTTTCCTCCTCCTGCTGTAGGTTGGCGTCTAGGCAGAGTTGCCTTCCTCAGTATGTAGGGTATGTAGGGTCTAGGGTATGTAGGGTTTAGGGTATCTGCAAGCTCAATGGTTATCCTTCTTAAAAGAAAGGGCACATGCGATAACCCAGGAAGGCGTATGAGACGGCAGACATGAGACCTACTCAGCCGTGACTCATCGGTGATGATTCATTGCCCGGAGATTCGGCGGCGGCTCATGTCCATCTTCAAGCAGATGTGTTACACCGCCCGACACGACTACCCAGGCGACGGCGAGAAGGAAATAGCCAAGATCAAGACATGGATCCGCCAGCGGCAGCACCTCCAACAGCCCGAGGACCTCAAGAGGTCCCTGGCGTGGCTGCGCTTCTACCGGGGAGAGCTCGAGGCCACCATCTCACTCGCCAAGTATCGGGCAATGAAGAGGAGATACGACCGGACAGACAAATGACCGGCGATTCGCTGACCCAGGCGAGTGACTGTATGGAGCGGTGCAAGGTGCTGTACAAGTCGGGCGGCCAGCGCCAGCAGTGCATCGTCCTTCTCGAGGAGACCCTCTCTTCGCTGCCGTCATGTGCCGAGCCTCCTGTTCTGGCGGAGCTGCATCACTGCCTGGGCGTTATGATTGCGGAGGAGTCGTCTGATGCTTCTTGTTCTTCCCCTCCAAGCAGCAGGCGGGATTCACAAGACGCGGCTGAAGCTGCGGGTGCATTGCTTCATCTCGAGAAGGCCGTCGAGCTGCACCGCTCATGCGTCAAGTACTGGTGCAGCCTGGCGACGCTTCTCCAGCGGGCGGGGGATCACAAGCGCGCTCTCGAGGCAATCAGAGCGGCAACCGAGGTGGATGGCCACTGCATCAAGGCATGGGAAAGGCGTGGCAGTCTCTCACGGGGTCTCCGGCTTCACTCGGAGGCGCTGATGTGCTACGAGCGTCTCATGGCCGAATGTCCAGAGGATCCGTCTTGGCCCTTCTTCGCTGCTAAGGTGCTCTTGCGCGACGACAAGAGGTCTGCCAAAGCCGTGGCCTACCTCAGGAGGGCTGTCGAGCTGGACCCCACCAATGAGTGCGCGAGGTATTGGCTGGCGTTCTCTTCTGGCGAGGCGGATGGGGTCGACAAGGCGCCGTCATCGTACGTGCAGAAGCTGTTTGACGGCTACGCGCATTCATTCGAGTCACACCTGGTGGGCAAGCTGCACTATCAGACACCTCAGCTCGTGTGCCAAGTGCTGCGTGAGAATGGCCCCCTGCTATCGCCACCTGAGCCTCTGGACGCACTCGATCTTGGCTGTGGCACTGGGCTTGCTTGTCGGGCACTGAGGAGCGGTGACATGATGGAGCGCCTGGGCGCATCGCCCCTGACTCTTGTGGGTGTGGACCTGTCGGAGAAGATGCTGCGTGAGGCGGATGCTAGAGGGGGCTACGATGCGCTGATACAAGGCGACATTCTTGAGGTGAGAAGATTAGGGGCATTCGACGACCTGTGCAGAACACACCTACTGTTTCCGTCTCTGCCGCTCTGCAGGTGCTCAAAAGGTGGCCAGACGTCGACATCTGTCTCCCCGCTGCGGCTGTGCGGCCCCCTCTGCCCCCGTCCTTCCACCTCATCGTGGCCTGCGATGTGTTTGTGTATATCGGCCACCTTGGGAGCGTCTTCGAGTGCATCTCTCCTCTGCTGCGCGAGGGGGGGCTGCTCATCTTCTCGACTGAGAGCGGCGACGCGACTTCAGGTGACCGTGGATTCAGCCTGACTTCGACGGGCCGCTACTGCCACGGTCGGAGATATGTCGAAAGGGCGGTTGAGGCAGCTGGCGGGATGTCAGTGGTCTCCGTGAGGCACGAGATGCTTCGGAAGCAGGCCGGTGAACGCGTGATGGGCGATGTGTTCACTGTGAGGAGGAAGGCCACATCCTTGGCGTGAAGGGGCTTTTGGTTCGCGTTTTCCTTTGTGCGGACGATGGATGAGACTGCTTCTCGATGGATGAGACATATATGTGCTTCACGGTTTCACCACGCACAAATGGCTCACACTGCAGGCCAGGTTGTTCCGATGATTCTGTCCACCACCCGTCAAGTCAGACAGCACTCAACTACACTAATCAGGTCAGCTGTTCTGTCAAGTCGGGTCAAGTTAGTGCAGGGCGCAGCATTATCGAGCGCAACACGGATGGCAAAATTGACCGCTGACGAGTCAGTCAGACACGCAAAAGTCCCACGTAGTCAGGGACAGCCAAAAGACCGGAACATGGGTGCATCATACATACATGTCACACTTCTCCCCCCCTGTAGCCCTGCTGTCCGTACACACGTCTCTGTCCATGGTCGCACAGCCATTCGCACACGGAAGCTGGAATGGACGGAAGCAAGGGCGGACGGCTCATGCAGCCAGACTCGTTTTGCTTTCTCTGCAGAAACCACACGAACGAAAGCAGTGGTCGAGACCCACTGATCGATCACTGTGTCCTTCGCCGTCTCACCGTTTTCAGCGTCGCTTTCGTTTCGCATCCATCCAACTGTGGTCCTCCTCCTCTTCTTGTTCTTCCTCTCGGCGGCGGCCACCGGAAGCTGCTTAACAACAAGCAGACAAAGCCAGAGAGTCAGTCATGTATGCATGCCCACATGCCCGCGTGCCTCACCGCTGCTGCCGTACTGAAGATCCCCCGTGGCCCCCTGGAACAGCTGCACGCCCTCCTGGGTTGGCCCGAAACCCCCCTCACCCCCACCACCCCCACCGCCCTGCTGCGCAGCGCCAGCAGCAGCAGAAGATGCTGCTGCTGCTGCTGGAACAGCTGCCCCCTCCCCACTCCCTTGGTGGCCAGTGGGAGCGCCGGTGCCGAAGGACAGCGATGGTCCCGACAGCCGCCCCCGCCGTCCGCGTCTCCGCGAAGAGGGTGACGATGAGGGCGATGCCGATGCCGCCCCTTCTGCTGCTCCTGCTCCTGCTGCTGGTGCTGCTGCCCCACTGTCCTTGTCGGCCTGCTGGGGTGGGCCGAAGAGGGGGGCGGACTGGAAGGACTGGAGCGATGTCGGCGATGCTGCTGCTGCTGCTGCTGTTGCCCCGAACAGATGGGCGGACGGCGGGAGTTGAAAGGCGAAGGACGAAGGGCTGCCCTTGAAGGCCAGCTCGGATGGCGGCCGTGGGGCGGCTCTGCCGGCGGTGTAGGTTCTGCCGAAGATGAGGGGGGTGTCCCTGTCCTCGGCCTCCTGCACACAACACACGCAGGAAGCCACGCATCGTGACGCATACATGATGTGGGTCTGTCTGTCTATCTGGTGTGTGCGCTTCCTTGCCTACACAGATACATACATATACTTACGCACCATCCATTCCCACTCCCGCCTGGTCATGACCTCCTCCCAGCGGGCCGCGATGACCTCCTTCTCGCGCCGGTCCTTGTCCTTGACGAACACCTGCCAGTCCTGCGGACATCCGACACGCACAATCAATGAAAGGGAGTGGGATGAATGGATAGCTGCACCTCTTGTGGTATTGGGGAGAGCGGCAGCACGTCGCCTTGCCTCCAAGCCTGTCAACACAAAGACAACGCGGGACGGACAAATAAGTCATATGCACATCTGCACATCTGACGCATCACGAAGCCACGTACCAGCTCGACTGAGTGGTCGCCCCCTCCGTCGGCCTGGTCAACCAACACATGACAGAGAGACAGACAGACAGACAGACAGGAGAGTGACACATACATGCAGCTATAAATCTGTGGGGTGAGGTGAGTGGGTGCCAAGGTCCCATCTTACCTTTAGGACAAACTTGCGACGCAGCTCCAGGGAGTCCATCAGGTGGGGCTGGTACTCCACGTCGCTATCGGCGGCGCTGCCCAGCTGCCCACTCTGGCCCACTCCCCTACAGGCAGACACATACGCACACAGACACATACGGACACCAACGACAGGCACAAATGACCGACCACATGAGACATGGTGGGTGACAGGCGACTTACCACGAGAAGATGTCCCCTGTCTGGTTGGTGGCCACCGTGTGGGTCCTCCCGGCACCGACGGAGAGGAAGCGCACCCCCTGAGAGACACAGGCAGACAGGCAGAGAGCCATAACAGTGACTTGTCCTTCGCCTGTGAGAGCTCACCTCGACCTTCCTGCTGCAGGGCACCGTCACGTCGACCAGGCGGTTGGAGACATCGAGGCCCGTGTTCTCGCCTGCACTACAGATACGCACAAACGAATGCGTGTGTGTATGGGGGTGGGTTTGATGTGTACATGTATCCTCCGTGGCCACATGTGTTGGCATTGCGTCCTACCCTTGCCCCAGGTCATGACGCTTCCGTCACGGATGAGGGCGATAGTGTGGAACTGCCCGCCACACAGGCTCACCACCTGCACACACACAGAGATAGATACCCAGACAGACAGACCACTTGCAGTCGCTGATCATCGGTCATGTCCACACGTGTGGCTTACGTTCTTGTCGAACAGGGCCGGGATCTCGGTGAGGCGGTCGACGGTGTTGGTCTTGGTGCTGATGCCCACCTCCCCACACGAGTTGGACCCGCACCTGCATCGACAACACACACGCGAGCCACACACCAATGTTCGTGTGCATGTGTGGGCCGCTGCCCGACCTTTCCCCACCCATAATGGCGTTTGCCGTCGTTGGCGGCCAACACCGCCGCCACGAAGGTGGCATTGCCACACGCCCACACGCGCCTGATGTCGGCCTCTTTGCCCAATCCCAACCTGCACGTGACCAACACAAAACACAGATGCATCTTCGGGGTTGCCTAAGTGCCCTCCATCTGTGGCGCCACTCACTGGTGTGTGGTGCGTCTGGTGGGGAAGAGGGCGGCGTCGAATGCCGCGCGGTCAGTGGGGCCTGTGGCGGGCGGCTCGGGGAAGGTCAGCTGGGAGAAGTCGTTGGCCCCCCACACGTACAGCTGACACACACACACAAATACAAACAGACAGACAGACAGACATCGATGGTGGATAGTGTGTGTTGTGTGGTGGTACCACTTCCTTCGAGAGTGCAACGGTGTGGTTGTCGCCGCTCGCCAGCTGCTCCACGTCCATCAGGCCGGGCAGGCGATAGGGATAGAGCTGCTTCTTGACCGCACCACCCACCTTGACGCCGATGCGCTGGCCGTTGAAGACCTGCAGCGACAAAACCAACCGCACAGACAACGGTGCAAACTCATGCACGTTTGTATGCGTGTATGTTTGTTTAGCTCGCTTACGGCATGGTTGAGGGCTACGGCGAGGCCCACAGCGCCCTCATCCGCCAAGACTAGCCTGGCCTTGCTGCACACACACACACACACACACGGGTGTGACGCGGATGCTGTCTGTCTGTCTGTCTGTCCGCCCTCTTGCTCACCTCGTGTCGTCGGCGTCCCGTCGAATGTGGCTCACTGTCGTCGGCAGCCGGCCCTCGAAGAACCCCCGCACTTGCTCGTTGGACGCCTCGGTGGGGAGGCCCGTGACGTCGAGGCGACGGCGGGGGAAGCCCTCGTGGCGGAACATGGCGTAGCTGGCCTGCATCCTCAGACACACAGACAGACACACAGGGACATTAGTGGTTGGATGGATGTGTCTGGGGTGTTTGTGTGCGTGCGTCCCTCACCGAGTAGATGCCCCAGAGGTACACGCGCCCGTCGAAACCCAGGGCCGCCGTGTGGTGGCCGCCGCAGGTGATCTGAACGAACGGCCATGAAGAAATATATGAAGAATGGCTGCAGTGGATGGGCTGTGCCCCCATCTCTGCTGCCCACCTTCTTGACCGGCACCGGCATTTTCGCCACCAGCACTGCATCCCATCCACGCACACACACAAGAAGAGCAACAACAGCTGCTGTGGTGCTGTGCTGTGCTGTGCTGTGTGGTTGCTTGCATGGTGCTCACTTGGCGTGACGTGGTCGCCGTCCCGGCCGAGCTCGCCGTTGTCGCGGGCACCTGACAGACAGACAGACAAGGGTCCGATGTTACGCCGGTGTGCACACACCGACCGTGTTGGTCGACGAATGCAATGCCTCTCTCGGTCACTGCACTCACTACTCACTCACTACTTACCCCAGGTGTAGATGACACCCTGAAATGTCAACGCGGCCGAGTGGGCGTCACCCGCAGCGATGTCCCACACGCCCTTGCCCTCCAACGACTGAGCAACACACACATACATCCACAGACAGACAGACACAGACGTTGATTTGATAGACAGTGTCCTTTCATACACACATGCACACGTGGCCGCATAGATGCGTGCGTACGGGAATGAGTTTGGGCTTGCGGCGTTCAAAGAGGCCAGCCCTGAGGCTGTACCCACACTGGCCGAACTCCACTGAGTGAGCAGACAGACAAGACAGACAATTAAGGCGATAGACAGACAGACAGACAAACAAACCCACCCCACCGTCATCCCATCCACCTCTCCCCTCGCCCATTGTGTGCACGTGCACTTACAACTGCCGTGTGAGTAAACATCGCCCACGGGCACCATCACGCCCATCCCGGCGCTGGTGTTCTCCCAGGCTCCCAGCAACACGTCCATCTGGGGCGCCGCCACGCCCGCGTTGCTGTTGGTGTTGTTGTCCTTGAGGGGTCGGCTGTGTGGGGGGCCTGGGGTGGGGTAGACCTTGGGCAAAATGACGGCCAGGGCGCTGGAGACGGCTGCGGCCACAGCTACACACACATGAATGCACACATGGGTGGGATGGGTACGTGATGGCATGCTCCTTTGACTCGTTTGACTCACCCGCGATGGCCTCTTCCTCCAGTCGCACGGTGCCGTCCTGACCCACACACACGCGGCACACAGGAGACCGACCGTACTCAAGTGGACAAACCATGGCGTTTTGCATACTTGTCGGCGTCTTGGCGAGTCCTCGATGGCGAGCGGCCGTGGCCCATCTTGGATGGCCAGCAGCCGGGGGGACCCGCCGAACGTGATACCTGCACGATACGATCAGAACGCTCATGTACATTCCACGTGTGATGCGTTCGGCTTGGGAATACTCACGCGGCCGAGGAGCCTCTTCTTGAAGTTGCCGGCGATCTTGTGGGTGTGCCGGGCGGGCGTGGGGCTGATGGCGGCCCTCACGCCGGCCGAAGAGGCCCTCCATGGCCCGCATGATGCGCTCCTGCACACACACAGCCCAACACAAATCATACTTTTCCCATCGGTCCGTCTCCGACCACCCACTGCCTCCCACCAGCCCTCGCCGTCTGTCCCTCACTGCGATCTTGCCTCTTTGTGTGTTTTCTGACCTTGCAGCGCTGGATTGTGATGGTGGCCCACAGGATGGCGCCACCGGTGGCGAGGGCGAGGGCGGCGCGGCGGCGGCGGTGGGCATCTGCGATGGCAAGGTGGCAGGTGCCATGCACGAGGCACTTGGTCTTGCAGACCGGCACCATTGCACACCCCGCCTTGAAGACACCGCCGAAAATACTCTCGAACAGGAGCATTTCGCCGAAATTGATGAAAATTGATGAATAGATAAGGTTGTCTCGCGTCCAGCGCCCGAAGCGATCTGTCTCGTTGTCGGCTGATGGGGGCTTCCAGGACAAGATGAGTACAGCGATAGACAGCCCACGCGACGTCGGTCCGGATGCAGTCCTTTGCAAACGAAAATGCGTCCTCCTTCTCGGCACCTCGATCCGATCCCACCAGCCATCACCGACTTATTCGCACTGCAAAGAGCGCCTCAGCAGGATGATGTGGCCGGATGGCCGAGGTTCGCGGCCTGGCGGATTTGATGTCAGCGATGTTGCCGCGCTGCCGATGGCGAGCAGCGCCATGGAGAGCGTGTGCAGGCCGCCGCCACCGTGGAATCGTTGAGATCTCTGGCCGCAAGCACCAGTCGCAGAACCACACACGAAATAGCGCAGATCGGCCCATCGGATGTAGATCTTCACCTGCAGGCACACACAGCACAGGCAGGAACATTGGCAGTGTAATGGCGTCCCATTTTGAAGGGGAGGCTTCTGCTAGCTCAGATGCAAAGCTCGCAATCGGGGGCATTCCGATTCTGTCTTTTTGGTTTCTCCAATGGAGTCTGTGTCTGCAGCGCCAAGTAACGATGAGGGAGGAGCAACGACAGAGCCGACGGAGCCACAGAGAAAGCGTCGCTGGTTCCAGTTCGCGTTCAGGGAGGCGACAATGTACGTCCTGTCGTTTATGACGTGACCAAGCGTCCCTTCGACCGGGTGAGCGACGTCAAGCAGTTCCTCCTCGGGGTCCCCCTCTACCGTTTCGCCCTCACTGATGTGAAGCTGACGAGCTGCAGCTGCGGAGAATTGGGGAACGACACGTACCTCACGGACCTGCACGAGGGGTATGTGCCATGCCACGCACCAGCGCACCACACCGCCTGTCGGACCCGTACGTATCGTGTGTGTTCGTGTGTGTGGTGTGTTTGTGCAGGCTGGGGAAGAGCCGTGACGATCCGTTTGTCGTGCACCTCGAGATGCCGATGCCAAAAGATCTCAAACGCGCAGCACGTCCATAATGGGCTTCGATCGGCTATTGCCCCACCGTGCGGCGGAGCGGTCGCTGACCGAGAGGGAGGGAGCCGTCGCACGCCATGCCCAAGGACGAGATATCGAAGCGGCTTGAGAAGAAGCTTAAGAAGACCAAGAGCATCCTCACCTACCGCGAGAAGGTCGGAATGGGCTACAAGACCACTGAGGAGAAAATGGCCACGGACCTGACGGCGGAGGAGCTGCTGGACAAGCGGGCCAAGGGGAACGGAGACAAGTTCTCCCGATTCTAGCCTGACGGGATGGACAGGGGGGAGGGTGCGAGGGGACGGGGGCTGGAGGGCGGGATGTTTGGGATGTTTCCTTTGTTTCTCTGCTGTGCGCGCTCTGTGTGTGTGTGTGTGTGTGTCTGTAACCTTGCACCGATGTGCGTGTGTGCGTAAGGACAATGCCGACTTGTTGTGTATTTCTGTACCAATGAATGGCTGGTGTGCAGTGATGCTGAGAGAATCCGACAACAAATCCACGTCATTGGGCCATCGATGCGTCCACTGTATAGTGTTTGATTAAAAGAAACAGTCACTCGCAATTGTGCAGACCCGGAACAATGAAATGATAAATATGAGCGAGTTCGTAAAGTGTCTGCCATCAATTCAATTCACGCATGCACCCAAGCGGCCACTAATCGGCAGCATAAGTAGACGCCCGATGTTTTCTTTGGTGTCACGTGCGAAACAGTTTTTGACGCGCAGGAATCGCACGAGATGCGCTTGTGGATACCCATGTGTCTGCTTGTGTATGATAAGCGTTCATGTCTCCACAAGAACGCAATCACACGCCAAAAACTATTCGATTCGAATACGCTAAGCACCAGAGACACAACTGCCAGCAAGC